CAGAGCCCCTCATTCAGAACACAGTTTTAAATCTGGAACACGTCCAGTTCAGGATTAAACTGTCAATAGCCTTTGGTGATTTTATGGATGAGTCTGCTTTTGCTGAGATGCAGCTAACTAGAAATTGTACAGATACAGATAGCTGTAATATTCCATTTCTTAAAGCAACACTAAGTAAGATTTTTTACCTTAGAATAATGTTTTCAAAATCGTTTCAGTGGTTCATCAGGACTTTTAAAGTACAACCAAGACTTTTAAAGCATAATACGCATAAATGTTTCACATTAGCAAATGAGATGAGATAAGATGAGATCTTTAGCATATTTGTGGATTTTCTTCTGATTCTGGATCAGACTCTGGCTCAAACATGCATGGCGAACATCGATTGAGGCACGACCCATAAAAATGGAGCCTATTACTTCTGAATTAATTAATCTGGCTATTGTATCTGAAAATGGCATTCAGAGCTGTAGCACAAAGGTGAGGTCTGGTCTATCACCTAATCTCAATTTTTATCTGCTATTGCCCCTCTATTTTTCTTCACTAGTCCAGCCAGTCTGCTAATTGGCTTTATCAGAGAATGTCTAATTGAAGAGAATTAGCACTGGCTGGTTACTTCCGGGTTCTGGACTGGCTGCAGTAACACGTCTCTGTCCATGCGGGGGCGCTCGCGGTCGAGTGCAGAATGAATGGGAGTCAACGGGGTTTCACCCCCAGAAATCCACTTTTCTAAGGATGTAATTTTTTGTCTAGTAATTTGAAAGTTGCGTTCAAAAGGGAGAGCTAAGAAAATACACTCAGCTGAAAATTGCATTTTTAAGTTCACTTATCTGTTCTAAAAATCCGTTCAAAAATGTGATGACGTCACACAATAGCAGAATGCTAGCGTGTTCCGGCCAACAACAGCCTAACCTGTAAGAAATCAAAAGGAAATCAAAAGGACAAAAGGACATATTGAACTTGCGGAATCAACAATAAAATCTATGTTGATTTAACGACAAGCTGGTGAAAGAGACATTTAGCCGTTTAGCCCCATAGACTCCCATTCATTCTGCACTCGCCCGCGATCACCTCCAGTGGAATTCTAATGGAAGTGCAACCAAGATGATACACAATGGGGCTAATAGGAAGTGCCAAGGCTCTCCGTTAGACGGGCTCTGGCTTTATGCACAGCTGCATTACTTCCTGAACTTAATCCAGCTCCTTGTTTCCTGTCTGCCATTATTGGCTAAATTGATTAATTCAGGTGTGTCTGATTATTGTTGCCATGACTACTGAGGTCAGGCACACCTGAATTAATCAATTTGGCCAATAATTGCAAACAGGAAACAAGGAGCTGGCTTAAGTTCAGGAAGTAGTGCAGCTGTGGAAAAAGCCCATTGAAACATGGAGAGGGAGTTTTTAATGGTGGGTTTACTGGTTAGTCAGCGCCACCTGCTGTTCAACACAGTTCTCTGCAGTACAGTTTAAACGATTTGTGACAGTGTTTCTCACAAGCTATTCCATGAAAAGATGATCTATAATTATATATATATAGTATATTATATTTATATATTAGTTTTTTAAATAATATTACTTAAAATAATGATGAATTATTATATCATTTTATATGATCAATTATAATGATTATTTATACATTTATCATTAAATCAAATCTAAATTATTTATTAATTAATCTTCAACATATTATTATTGTATTTAATTTTGTATTTATTTTATGTTAAATATATATATACATTGTATTATATTATTCAAAAATGTATTGCTAAGTACTATATGTGTGTATATTATTAATGATTTTTATTACGTTTTTATTAAAACATATTTATATATTCACTGGCATCCGATAACTGTACTCTGAGAGTATTGTATATTTAAATCTTCTACTAATGAGATGCTTATATCCTCACAGCCATCCTGGGGATGTACACGCTCATGAGCAACAAGCAATATTATGATGCCCTGAACACCACTGGCAAGATTGCAAACACAGAAGGCATCAACAGTATGTATAAATACAACACATTTACCAATAAATGATTTGATGTCAACTGAAAGTTTTATATAGTGAGTTTTTTTTTTTTTTTTATTCAATGAATGTCACAGTAGTTACTTCTGTATCATAAGCTAGTTGGTCAATTCTCTTTTAGGTGTGGTGAAACCAGATGTGTATAAGATCTATCCTGACGAGCCTCCAAATGACACAAATGTGGAGGACACTCTCCGATGCATCCAGAAAAACGACAGCAGCCTGGAGGAGGTCAACCTCAACAACATCCCGGTAAACATGCTAACAGTACTGATACCTCAATAAGTATAATTATAATCACATTACAGACTTGACATAACATTAATATTATAAACAGATTGCTCACTTACACTTTAAGTATTTGTTTTCTTGAAAACTTCTAATGACCTTATTTATCATAAGAATGAATGCATTTCTCTGCTTGAGCGGAATGATGATATTAACGAGTGTTTATGTTGATGTAGGACATTCCCATCCCAACCCTGAAAGAGATTTTTGAGGCTATGAAGCGCAACACACATGTGCAAAGCCTCAGCATCGCTGGGACACGCAGTAATGACCCTGTGGCATTTGTAAGTCCTGAAGCCTGCAATTCTGATGTTGTATCATTCACTCATTCCTTTGCTTCAATCTCATATTAATCTTCCACACACAAGTCTGAAAATATATTTAACATTTTTTGAAGTGTGTCTAGATCAAATAAAATCTTAGTCTGTTTAAAGTTTTGGAGTTTTAAAATGCTGTAAATAAAAGTAAAAACTTTTTGAACAATTTATTGTAACTAATTAGTTTAGTCATGTACAGTAAACCGTTCAAAAGGGTCAAATTCTTTTTTAAAGAGTGGATACAAGGATGCGTTAAATTGATCAAAAGTGACAGTAAAAGCATTTATAAAGTTACAAAATATTTCTTTTTCAAATAAATGCTGTTTATTTGAACTTCCAAATCATCAGTTTATCCTCAAAACATCCCTGTTTCCACAAAAATATTAAGCAGCACAACTGTTTTTAACATGGATAATAATAAGAAATGTTTCTTGAGCAGCTAATCAGCCTATTAAAATGAATTCTGAAGGATCATGTGACACTGAAGACTGGAGTAATGATGCTGAAAATTCAGCATTGACATCACAGGAATAAATGAAAACAGGGGTGTGGCCTGGGATTTTTGGGCCCCATGAAAAAATAGGTTTTACTGCACCCGTTCAATCAATAAAATCAATCTCTAGGGCCCCTAAAAGTGTGTGAGGCTTTAGAATCGTGCTAACTTCCCCCCCTTAGCGGCGCCCCTGAATGAATATATATATATATATATATATATTAATAATATTTCACAATATTAATGATTAATGATTTTACTGCATTTTTGATTCAAGCCATGGTGAGCATAAGAATAAAAACTTTTTTTTTTTAAATTATCGATCCCAAACTGCTCACAATGCAGACATTCTCAATACTCAATTCTGTCTGCATCTGTATGTATTATGGAAATGAGGGTCAGTTGACATCAGTTGATTCTCTTGATCTGTTCTTTTGAATCAGGCTGTAGCTGAGATGTTACAGTCCAACACCACCCTGCAGAGCCTCAACATCGAGTCCAACTTCATTACTGCACAAGGCATGATGGCCATCGCCAAGGCACTGAGAGAGAACTCCACCTTGACTGAGATTAAGATTGACAACCAAGTAAGAGGCTAAAACATCGGATGGCATGTTTGTTTAACTCATAAAACTAAAGTGTTCATGCGCACTCCTACAGAGACAAAAACTGGGCGACTCCGTTGAGATGGAGATTGCATCCATGTTGGAGAATAACCCCAGCATCATAAAGATTGGCTATCACTTCACTCAGCAGGGCCCACGTGCAAGAGCCGCCATGGCCATCACCAGAAACAATGACATCCGTGAGTGTGTTGTCATCTTATTTTCTGAAATATTGCAGTTTGTACTTGTCTGCAGCTGAATCAGGAACATTGTTTTATTCATTATTGTTTCTACATTGATTTTTTTGTATTCACCCCATATTCAGTTCGTCAGCAGAGAGTAAGTTGAAAAGAAGATGGAGTTTAGTTCATCTAGGAGGTATCAAAGTTCTCCATGTGCACTCTTGGACTCCTACAGACACTTCAGCAACAGCCACAACAACAGATGACCCTGACACGCTTTTACCATTCACCATCGACCATTGTGGATATCATTATCGCCAGCTTGATAAGACTTCATTTTTTTTTTTGTGGATTTCGTCAAATCAAAAGCTTTGATCTAATAAAATTGGTCTGCTCTTTAATACCTCAGTTTGTAAACTTGAAAAGACACTAGTTTTACTAACATGGTGCTCCCGGCAAAGTTTTTGTAAATATTTTAAATAAAATATTACAATCTATTTCAAATAAAATATTACAATCTATATTGTCTAATCAGACTTCAAAGTTTTATTAAATTACAAAAGCATAATTTAATTCAGGTTTGTTCTATCAAAGCACTGGCATACGGTTCAAAAGTTTGGGGTCAGTAAGATTTTTTAAAAGAAAATATTAGAATCAGCAAGGATGCATTAAGCAGTTCACAGGTGACAGTGAATACATTTTTACATGTTACAAAATCTTTTTATTGCAAATAAATGCTGTTCTTTTGAACTTTATTATCAAAGAATTCTGACCAAAAATATGCATTAAAATGATCAAAAGTGACAGAAAAGGCATTTATAATGTTACAAATGATTTCTAATGAAATGCTGTTTGCACTTTCTAATCATCAGTTAATTCTCAAAACGTGTGTGTGTGTGTGTATATATATATATATATATTAATCTGCACAACTGTTTTCAATGTTTATAAGAAGAAAATGCTTGAGCACCAAATCAGCATATTAAAATAATTTCTGATGCAATTTAGTAAAAATTTAGCTCCACATCACAGGAATAAATTGTATTTTAAAATATATTAAGATAGAAACTCAATTTTACAGTCCCCCCCCCATCATTTCTTTCCAAAAATGTGGGAAGTGTAAACACGTAATTACATTCTCAAAGCAGATGCTCTCAACAGGCTCATTGTAAAAAAAAATAGCTTCATTAACATTTGAAGATCCGGACTCTGTTGCAATATAGATTTGATTTAGATTATGCATTATTAAATTAATAGAGGATCGAGATAAAATTATGCATGGGTCATTTCATAACTTTTATATGATTAACCTGTGCATGATGACCCAAACCCAAAGGCACAAAACAAATGGCACAATCCTATTTATACACGCAGAGCACCCAGTCATGAAACCCTGGCTGATGGCTTTGAATTACAAAGCTCCAAATATATACCGCCTTCCTCAAGGAGATTAATGCTCCCCTTTGGAACAGCTGCTATCCTGCTACGAAGATTCCCAAGCGTCTCCAATTGACAAGTACAGTTTTCAAAGAATTTATAAAAAGGTACAGCAGTCGCTAAAGTGAAATTTCGCTTTCTGTGGGTGATTAACTTCCCAGGTCTATTGCAGTATGTAGTCCCACTCTGCCAAGATCACTCTGATGTCATTTGGCAAAGGAACCGCAGTACGAAGCAGCCGTTCCACATTCTGTTCTTGATTTGGAACAGATTTCCACTTATTCAATCATGCAAACAACATTCACACATGGAAAGTAAAATGATAATGATGTATGTAAAAATACACCACATGAGATTGAACAGACTGAGGAGGACTAACTAACAGACTTAACTTGATTTATTTTCCAAAACATCCTCTATTCGATCAGAATCAGAAAATTGATTAAACCAGATGGCAAGTACACAGTACTAATACAATTTGCAAAATGCTCAATGCAACAGCACAAACTCTTTTTCCAGAAAGAATGTCTTATAAAGTTTCAACCTTATTGTATATAAAGTGGCTCACACATAAAGGTGTCATATGAGAGCTGACTATCGATAACATTATCGTCATCTCGCACACAGTTGTAGCCTGAAGCCTTTTAAGCAGTTGCTGAATTGTATGGAGCTGTTTCAGCAGAGTCTGCTATGAAGATTCAGGAGGCAACAGAGCCGGTTCTTCTTCATCCGAGTCAAACTCGACATTCTCATCTTTTACCCATTTTCCACTTCGGTCCTGCAGCCACCCTGAACTGGAATAGTGGAGAGAGGGGGAAAAAAAGGAGAAAAAGAGAGCGGTCATCTAAATATTGATAAATAAATAATCTCACTGTGATCTTCAAATGTATTTTGAATACCTACTTGTATGCTTACATCAGTCCATTTGCATAAAATGCTTGAACTAGTCTTACAAGTTAGTCATCATTTTATTTTCCTCAAACTTTACAAATGGTCACAACGTTAAGTCATACCTCTTTAATTTGAGGTAGTGGTCCAGTTCTCTACGTCTTTGCTCTGTTAGAGGTTCACAATCAGTGGAGGTCACAATGCTGGACCCCTTCTTTGTCGTTCCTTTCCCTTCAGTCTGGCCTTGATGCACCACAGATGACAATTAACGAAAAAATGAAAAGGAATTATAAGCACAAAATGTATCTTGCCTCAACATAAAGAGACTTTTGCTGTACCTGTTGTGCTAGTTATTGACATGGAGTCAATACTTCCTGTGCTCATGGACGTATGAGAGTTGATATTGCTGGCTTGATCATTTCCATCTTCTTGACCACATCCCAACGATTCCGCTCGTTCACTTCATGAATGTAGAAAATGATCAAATAAGTGCAAAATGAAGATAAATTTGTCAAGTCACTTTTATTTATATAGCGCTTTATACAATACAGATTTTTTTTAAAGCAGTTTCACCATAATTAACAGGAACATTATGATTTCATTAAAGATGAGACAAATTCATCTGTAAAGCAGCTCTACAGAAGACATTAGTGTCTTTATTAGCTCAAGTCGATTTAATGTTGATTCAGTTCAGTTCAATAACTTTGTAAAGTTCATCAATTAAGAAATAAGTTCAATTCAGCTATAAGCTCTACAGATGACAATAGTATCATCATTTAGCTCAACTCAGTTTATTATTGTCGATGTTGCAAAATTCATCAGATATGAAGCGTGGTTGAGGTCAAAGTGACTAGAAAGACACAAACAGTCTATAAAAACACTGACCTATGACAGCAGAAGGTTCATAAAGATTGTTCAGCTCACAGACATTACCTGGCCTTTCTGTGGCAGCTACTGTACGGAGCAGTTCTGAGTAAGGCATGATGGGTAATTTTGCGTGTTTGGCTCAGTAGAGGAGCTGAACTGGAGGGTTCCTGAGGGCAAGCAATAAAGTAATGAGTACATAACCTTGTTATATCTAAATATGTACTGTAGGGTCTGAAAGTCTGGGACTACACTGAAAATCTGGGAATTAAAAAATAAAACTTGGAAATAAAAATGAACTAAATTAAATCATTCTGCACACTATTTTTAGGTCACTAATCACTGACAAAAGTGATAATATCAGCAAAATACAAGAAGGATAAGACAGAAGGATAGACTTTAGGATACCACTGTAAACTGATTGAAGAAAATGCATTCAGAGACCTGTCGAACATCATCTTCTGCTTTGACATAGTCTTGATGCCTTCTTTTATCAATTTCACGTTGCAGTTTATTCTTTTTGCCGTAGAACCATTTCATTCCTATAAATGAATAGACAAAGAGGACTTTGCTGAATGCCAGTTTATACAGAGGCTGATTAAATGTGTAGAATTTCACCTTCAAGATGTCGCTTTCCCTTCCTGTGCACCATGAGCATATCAACAGTGTCAAACACAGGACGGTGAGAACACACAAGGCAGCTGTATCTACAAGGTGGAAAACATTACTCAATGAATGGGATAAATTCAGTCACCGACTTCTTTCCAACAACCAGCAATACAATAATCACCTCCCGTTTTTCATCAGAACAGCTTCATCGTCTGAGATAAAATTTGACAGAAGATCTGCAACGCGTCGTTTCTTTTAAGAGAAAGATAGACAGAGGAAGACAATGAGAAAAAGAAAAGGGAAAGGTGAAAATATCATATATTTGTCAGTTTGCTGTTTTTGTTATACCTTTAGAACATTTAACTGACTTTGATCATCACCCTCCCGTTTGAAAGACATATTTGGTGACCTGTAGTCTTATACTTCTAGGAATTATAATTCATTTACTTTCTTATTTCTCTACAACTACCGATTCTTTTACTGTCTCAGTCTTACTAAACACATCACCTTTCTTCCTGTTTTTGTCTGTGGAATTGTGGGTAGTGATGTCCGAATGAATGAAAGAATCGTTCATTTGAGTCAGTTCTTAAAGGGATAGTTCACCCAATAAGAAATATCATGTCTCTGTCATCGTTTACTCACCCAAAGTTGTTCCTTCCAAACATATATTAATTTCTTTGTTAAAAGAAGATATTTTGTCATGTTGTATTTTGTCGGGGACCATTGACTTCCATTGTATTTTCCCCTCCATGGATGTCAATGGTGCTCCACAACTGTTTGGTTACATTACAAACATTGCACTCAATATCTTACTCTTGAGTTCAACAGAAGAAAGAAATTCGTGTTTGAGGGTGAGTAAATGATGACAGAATTTTCATTTTTGGGTGAACTATCGATTCCTTTAAGGCTTCTACAGACGGGTAAATTCGGACTGATCCGAAGAGCTGATTCAGTTTTTGTCATGTCCAAAATTAGAACTGATGAATCACCAATTTATTGTCCGAAAGAACCGATTCGCCGAAATGAGTGGAACAAGGGCGGATCTTACATTTAGCCGACGCCATGGCAACAGAAGCTAAGCTAATCTGCTAAAGGCTTGTAACAAATAAGTTTTATGATTGTCAGAAACTAGAATGTAAAGGCTACCGTGTATGTCTCTTTGGTGTATATTGTATATTATTTGAATTGATAATTTTGGGGGCACCGCTGCTAATCGAAACACGTTAACACCATGGTTAACACTCTGTTCAAACTTATCTGGGACTAACGTTACGCAGGACTGAATAATTATTTCTCACAGTGTGCTGTATCATGTATGTGTATCTACCGGTTAAATGGCGTTAAATGCCTTATAGCGTTGAAACGTTTCAGAGTGCGTGACAAGGAAGTCGGGGATTGTTTATGTTAACTTTATTTCTCCCATATAATTTGACTAACAACAAAAGCTGTTATGAGTCCTGCCGTCTTGCGTTCAGCAGCCGCCGCAGATGGTCAGCTGAAGTTCATCTTAAAAAATTATTAGCTAAACTATTTATCCCGTTGGAGGTCTGGCCATGTCCGCGGATCACTCAGCGACACAGACCGGGACACACGGCCTCCTCCGTGGCCAGCGCACCCGGTCCTACGGCAGCCTAGTGTCTTCTTCATTATCACCCGTGAGACAAAGACGAATTGAGCACAAAGTTCAGCCCGGGGAAACTTTGCAAGGACTATCACTGAAGTATGGCGTGTCTGTAAGTAATCATAAAGCAGGTATTTGAGGAATAAGGTCTTCACTATTTAAACGTTTAGTGTTTTTTTTATAATTACATATTTATCAATAGAACTTGTTATTGCTTTATAGATGGAGCAAATCAAAAGGGCAAACAGACTGTACACAAATGATTCAATATTCCTGAAGGAGTCTCTCTTCATCCCTGTATTGCTGACAGAGTCTGTGTCTTTCACTAATGGAGTGGAATTGACCGAGGAGGAGACAAGTCCTGCACAAACACATACAGAGATTTCTAATGAGACCCCAGAAAGCCAAACAGACTCCAGGAGATGTGAAGCAAATGCTGATTTGTCACCGGTGGAGTACCTAAAAAAAATAGACAGCTTGATCAGTCAGTCAAAACAAGCAGCTGTGAAGACCTGCCAGGAGGGAGAGAAACAGTAAGTTGTCAAAATGAAATTATATGACTGCTGACATTATTGTTAGGGTGTTTCAGAGTTCAGTTATTGCAATCGTTGTGTTTGCTGCCAAATGAGTCATTCAGCAAGTTTCAGTTCCAATGAACATCAGCTGATTCATTAAACTGGTTACACCTAACTAAATAAAAAGCCATTATCCAAAGTGAGGAATCAGTTCCGATTTTTTTTTTATTCATACCACGTAAAGCATAACTTTTACAGCAATAGTAATTAAATCACCAAAAAATGTAATTTTTGTATTTTAAAGGATCTCTACTATGGAGCAACTCTATCACAGCAATCTGAAGTCCAACACTGTATCCTCCCAGCAGGCCACATTGGGAGCTGTTCCCATGACCATCACCAGACATACCAGGAATTTGAGGGATAGGGAGGATGAATTCTTCCAGCTCTGATGTAGGCTCTGGTGTAGGACTCCTTTGACTGTTTTCTTTTTTGTTTTTTTATATATAGATATATAAATGGAATGTTTTAGAGGGCTCCCTCTTCTGGTTTCATGCCTTTAAAATGTGATGGTGATTGTTGGAGTGATTTGCAATAGTCCTGTTTTTATAAAAAGGCTACCAGCTTTAGACTTGCACACATAGCACTGTAAAAACACAAGCCTGATGCCTAAAAGTAATAATGTAAATTATAATTCTGCTGTAACCAAATTTTTGGTGGACAGTTTTAGGTGTGATGTGGATGACTGCATTTGAGGAAAAGAAATCAGGAATGTAGCTTAAAAAATAGTTAATTTGCTAATTAATATTTAACACTACCTCACAAGTAATTGATAGAAGTACTACTTTTAGGAATATTGAACAAGTATTTGGGAATGTGCCATTGGACAGCTGCATCTCAATGCATAGTTTTGCACTGCAGTGAATGTAATATGAAACCGATTAAATGCCATAAACACAAACTGATCTTGGTCTTTTAACCTGGTCTTTGAAATCTTGAGTGGTAATCAGTGTACATAAAGATGATCTAATGGTACGCTTACATGACAACAATGTACTAAAAATGAAAAAAAAAAAAAAAAAAAATTCTCAAATTTTTTCTTTTCTCACTGTGGATCAGACACCTGTGAGATCAAAAGCGGAACGGGTTTCACACTAGTGCACGGTGTTGCTAATAAACTGGATGTAATTTAAATTGTGTTGCTTGTATATGAAAATAAATATAATGAACAAGACACCCAAAGTAATTATTAAATTCTAAATAGGCCTATGTGTTTATCAATCATTTTTTTTAATACAGTGTTTTTTTTTTTATTAAAAAAATACATTACATAGATCGCACTGTCAGAGAGTTTGGGAATATCCACACACAATTTATATACACACAAAAAAAAAACATGATCGAGTTTTAAAATCAAACATTTTAAAAGAGAACAATACATCACAGTTGTTTGAACCAATGAGTGTTAAGCTGTGTTGTCAAGCAAGTCATTTCCCATCATGCTTTTGGTCAGCTCTGTCGGTGGAGAGCATGCAGCGCGCGACTGCAGAATCCGGCAAGTGCGCCTTGCGGTCGCGAGAGTTTTTTTTGACATACGTCAACGTGATGTCAGAGCAAGATGGACCGCACGGCACTCGGACACATTTCTTACCAGCATGCATCTCGCGCTGATTAGCTACCGGTGATTGGTTCTGCGCAGATTTTGCTCATCTCAAACAAGCCCATTTCCTTCCGAATTTTGCAGAGCCGGAGATTGTGAGTATTCGCTGCCCATGAGCTAGCAGCAGGAGCTTAACTTTACAACAATAGACTGTAAAAAAAAATTTGGACGTAGTGTCCGTGACGTCACCGGTAGATTTCTGAAGAGCGTTTTTGAAGCCTAAAGTGAGCGAGGCCGGCCGTCCAGCGTCTACACTGCCGGAATCATATAAGAAGAAGAAGAAGAGGCCGGCCGTCGCCATCTTAGCACCTCGTGTCACTACCAGACAGTAAAAGAAATGGAGAGAGCGACCCCATTGATTTCAACGGAGAACATTGAAGGCTGATCGCCAGGCGTACTGCGCAAGCTCAAACTGAGCCTGTGAGTAACCTTCTAGTAGCTACCTGTCTTCTAGTAGCTGTGCCGAGTGAAATCTGAATAATTCCCTTCTGAATCTCACAGAGACGGAGAGAGAGCTGTCCATGAGCTATAACAGCAGGATCAACTTTAATCTCCACGGGCTTCTCCCTCGTCTTTATCGGACTTTATGCCTCCATGTCCCCCCGATTGCCTGCAAGCTTGTCTATAAGGTAATTTCTGTACTGTGCGACTTGATTCGCTATGACGCAATCGTTAGCCTTTTTTTTTTTTTTTTTTTTTAAACAAAAGGCTTGTTTGAGATGAGCAAATTCTGCGCAGAATCGATCACCGGTGATCAGCGCGAGATGCATGCCGGTTAGAAATGTGTCCGAGAACGGTCCGCCTGGCTCTGATGTCATGCCGACGTATGTCAAAAAACTCTCGCGAGCGCAAGGCGGAAGGGTCGGATTCTGCAGTCGCGCGCAGTTGCTCTCCACCGACTGCGCTGATCAAAAGCATGATGGGAAACGACTTGCTGACGACACAGCTTAATGCTCATTGGTTTAAACAACAGTGATGAAGGTAAATTCCATATTCATTAAGCTAAATTCTCCAAATCAAGGCCATGTTTTATTTATTTATTGTTTTCAAATTGAAACTGATCTAATTGTGAATCTCTTAAACGGGTTAAAAATAAGAAAGCTATAGTCAGTAACTCAAATATACTAGGCCTACTCTAAAATGTTCAAGTGAAAAATAGCTCTCATTTTATAGATGATGAAGTTTGTAAGTCTGTCTATTTAAGCTAAGCTTATTTTGATTGATTTATTTATTTTATTATTAATTTTATTCTGATGTTTATGTATTTGTCGCTGTATAATAGGCCTATTTGTTTCACGAATTGTGGTGTTTGTAGGTAGGCTATGTTTGTAACTTGCATTCTAATAAAAAAGTAAAATAAATAAAAATAAAAGAACACCAGACGAATTGTTCTCTTTTAAAATGTTTGATTTTAAAACTGATATCATGTTTTATGTGTATACATAGGCTATGGGTGAATAAACTATCTGACAGTGCCATATGGGTTATATTTCATTTTTGTTAAAACAATAGGCTATATAAAAACACGTCTGTATTAAAGAAAAAAAAAGATTGATAAACCATAGGCTATTTGGAATGTAATTAAATAACAAGTAGTTTGGGTTTTATTTACATTTTATTTATTTTTATATAAAAGCAACAGAACTCACATCCAGTTTATTAGCAACACGTGCACGAGCGTGAATCCCGTTAATCCCGCGATATCCGCCTTTGATCTCACAGGTGTCTGATTCACTGCGAGAACCCTAGATCTGTCCGGCTTGATTGCGCTTTTTTCACTCCTCCCCTCACTGCAGCCGCCTACTCTCGACTACATTGCAGGCGAGGCGAGGCGCATCTCAAACAAGCCTAAAAACTGCTTCTAAGGGGCCATAACGTAGGGGTAATGGAGCCTTTTACACATTGTTGCGTTTCTTTAGAAACAAATAATGGACAAATGGAGTCTTTGGACGCCTCATATGTAAAGTTATTTGTTGTCAAAGTGACGCCAAAATGAATGGGAGTCAATGGAATGCTAACAGCAGGTGAAGTTCTGCTACAATGGCGGCTCCCGTGAGGTTTCAACTTCCGGCTGATGGATTACTGCCCTGGGGCCTCATGTATAAAACTTTGCGTAGATTTCATCCTTAAAGTGTGCGTACGCACATAAGGCAGAATTTGCGTACACACAAAAGTTTTCAGATTTATAAAACCGTTCGTACGCCAGAACCTGCGCAGAATTCACTTTATAAATCCCAGTCAGCGGGAGATTTTGCGCACGTGCGTCTCCTCCCCGAAATAACCATATATGGAGATTACAACGCCTAGTTTTACTATGCATATCCTCATCTGCATATCATTTGCATATGATTATTCATCCACGTGATACCAAGTTTAACGGTACAAGACGTTAGGAAAATATGAAATGCGGATGTGCCGTCCCATTATTACAAACATTTTTTTTAGTAGCCTATCCTTGCCTTGTTTTTAAATGAATAAATCAAATAGTGTTAAATACATTTCAGAGAAAGTTTTTCTCAATCTTTTCCACTGGCCAAATAGTATTTTTAATTGATTTATATTTTAATGGATAATGGAAGAGATTTTAAGGGAAGAGATAGACATGGTTGTGCATTATTTGCACGAAACAGTTTTCTCAGACAATATAGTTAAAACATCAAAACACAGCATGCCAGAAGAAAAGTGTTCAAAAGCAATGCATCCACAACAAATAGGTCTATTTCTATTTATTGAATATATATATATATATATATATATATATATATATATATATATATATATATAGTAACTTCTTCTCAGTCATGATTTCATGTAGTTTAAGAGTTTAACTCCATTAATGAGAATGGCATATTTAATCTAAATGTTTATATCAAAAGTAAAACATAGTTTAAACCATTCTCTTATTTATTTAAACTGTTATTGTGAATATGGACTGTATTTATGATTTGGACTCATAATGAAGATTTACGGTTTTACTCCATCTGCCGTTAGATTATAGGCTATATGCGTCAGTTTCACCAAACGGCCAAACGCGCGTGCTGGCGGTCATTTAAGAAGGGATGGATGTTTGCTTCAAGTGATAATAGGTTTGTGAAATTATATTTGTATTATCTTTCTGTAGATGTATAATTTTCTTTAGACTCTCTGTCTAATAGTAAGCAAAAAGACATTTGACTCCAGCTCACCATCGGTGTCGCCAAAACCCATAATCTTCTAAAAGAGTGCGTACGCACGGTCAAGAGCATCCTTACGGTGCGCACTTATTTACGCCAAATTTATTTTTTATAAATCCCGATGTGCGCGTGGAAAAATGTGTACGCATATTTCTATGCCCATTTTGTGCGTACGCAACGTTTATACATGAGGCCCCTGGTCACTACTGGATAAAATAAAATGGGCAAAGGCAAAGAACTACAAGGGAGACTGTGTATTGTGATGTATTATTATTTTGCTATAAAAATGTATTATCATGCAGTAACTTATAATATTGCCTTGAGCTTGTGCGTGTGACAGTGAATCATACATGTGAGTCAGCATGGTATCGCACGTCAATTTTGTAAAGAGCTTTATTCAGTCCATTTTAAAACATGATTTTGGCCGCCTCTCAATTACTCAAACGTGTTAAACTAAAGTATTACCTCAGAAGTTCAAGTAAATGCACTAGAAATCCGCGCTCATTCAAGGGTGTGCATCTATTGCACGGACGGAGAGAAAGCACTGACACCTACAGGATTTCATCTGCGGTCCTTTTTATTTAACACTAAAAAGTTAAATAAGCATATCTGTTCTGTGAGAGCAACAGTTCTGCAAAACGGGTGTGGTCTCTACATCTATAGACATTTTTAGCAACAAAATTGTCAGACATCCATTTACGTTAGTGCATGTGAGGAAAACAATTGGAAATACAGCGCTGGTTGTTCTCTCCATACTCGACAACAACGGAATGCAACGGCGTGGGTAGAGGTATACGTGTATAAAATTGAATGAAATAATCCAGAAAAAAAGCACAAACATGGCAGAGATGGCAAGTACAGCAGTGGCTGGAATTAGCTGAGAGTGACGTTAACAGACAGCAGACTGCTCAAGTGGCCATGTCTTTATGCCTCCACATCCCCCCGATTGTGTGCAAGCTTCTACTTCCTGTCTATACGGTAATTTCTATATTGTGCGACAGAGAGTCACGTGCTATGACACAATTGTTTATGACGCAATCTATTTTTACAAAAACTGCTTCTACGGGGCCTTAAAAGGCTGTATTGAAATTTGCAAATCCTCATTGCCAGAAAAGTCCAAAATAGATAGTTAAATACAAAATGCAAAATACATTTTCACCGCTAGATGGGAGAAATTCCTAAACATTGTCCCTTTAAAACCTGTTTTTAAAAGTTTGCTTTTTCAGGTCCCCAAAATGCTGCTGTTGTGTAAATGAATGGGCAAATGAATGGGCAAAATTTCAGTTTTTAGTTGAAAACATGTCATGAAAACGGCCCCTACGTTGTAACGGAACTAAAGAATACAGTGTGTTTGTTTATTCAGTTAATGTAACAACTGAATCACAGCATTCCATCAACTTATGTGTGTTTCAAACCCAAAACACTTTTAGATGTTAATTGTTTATATTAGGGTGTGAATTATAATAAATATGTATGTGCTCCAAACAACAAAATGTAGTCATACATTTACAAATACATTTACAATACAAATGCATTATAGTAGCTCACAGTTAAAATTGTGTAAATGAATGATTACAATTTAAAATAACATTTCTATTTTTAATCTATTGTAAAATGTAATGCAAGCAGCCAGTGATCAGTCTTAAGTGTCACATGATCATTCAGTAATCATTCTATTGTTCTGACTTGGTGCTCAAGGAAACGGTGCTACGTTTTCCCTGGATTATTTGATGAACAAAGTTAAAAAAAGAGCAGCATTTATTTAAAATAATATTTTCTTTAAAAAACAAACAAACAAACGAACAAACAAAACCCACATGTACTGACCACACGCTTTTGAATGGTATAGTGTATTGCAATACTGAATGCAAAGTACATAAGGGCTGTAAGTAAATATTTATTCAGTGGTTGTTCCATTTTAGAACACAGCAGATCCCCCTCAGAAATGTTCATGTCAAAATATAGTTGCTGAACGTGTAGTGCCAAGCTTAGATTTGTTGCCATAGCTATAACCACAGGGTAACACTAGATGGCAGCGTGAAGAGACTAAAACGTGTTTGTGAGTTTGTGTTATGTTGTTGTCCTAGGAGGTAAATATTCAGCTAAAAATGTTTAATAGTATTGAACAATACAATGAGCTCTAATTTACAGCAGAGTGGCAGAACCCCAGTGGTTTATACATCATTATTAAAAAAATAAGTAGTCTAGAAAACCTCCATCCAACGCAGCTGGAGTATCAGAACTTAAAAAAAAAAGTTGTTGTTGATCTGAGCTCGCTCAGGCAGTGGTTGTGGCTGTGTTAACACTATCAGGCCACTGATCTAATATTCATTAAAGGCACAGCAACACTGTTTCAAAGGTTGAACTGAAATCCGATGCCTTCAGTCAGTCACGTTCTGCCTTTTCGGTTGCATTGTATGCAGTTTGAGATCACGGGTGGCCCTCCATGCCAATCCTATAAAAAGTCTGTCAGTACATCACCGTCCTCATAACGTCTCGTTCTCCAGCAGTTTGTTAAGCCCGTTGCAGATTTTGGTGAGGTGAGGTTTGAGGGGCCCAGCTGGGTTGTAAAGCTGGGTGAGGAGCTCAGGGTCAGCGTAATGGTTGAAGACGTGATTGATGCGTCCGTGGGATTTTGCTGTGAGGTGAGTATTTACAAGCTTCAAAAGCATGTCCCGACTTTCTTTCAGGATCCCCGACATAACCGCCTTGTCAAATGTGAAATCTACCTGAAAAGGGAAAGAAGAGACTTCAGTGAGCATAAAGTACAAAACTGCTTACAAATATGGCTTTGATTAGAACTGCACCACTTGATTTGTTAAAAAAGCTGGAAGCACATTTTTTGCCACTTAATGACCAAATGACAAATAAATAATTAACAAATCAATCAATTGATCCTTTAATTTCTGTAAAAGAAAGTATCTTATATCATAGAATATCAGATCAGATCAGATCACATCGTATCAATCGTATATCTTAAGTCAGAGGGTGGCACCCAAAACATAATCATATAATTTCTCAGATGCAGATGTCTCATGAGTTTTCAATGGTTGTCAACCCAAACAGTAATCATATTAATTTCCCGAATGTTAGTTGTCAATGGTCAATGTATGTTACAATGTTGTTCATTTAATTGTTTTACCACCTTATACAGTGCCAATATATACAGGGTTTGGACAATGAAACTTAAACACCTGGTTTTAGACCACAGAATTTATTAGTACTGTTGTAGGGCCTACTTTTGCGGCCAGTCAGGCACCACTTTGTCTTGGGAGTGACAGATGTAAGTCCTGCAGAGTGGCCAGAGGGATTTTGAGCCATTCCTCTTTCAGAACAAAGGCCATGTCACTATGTGATGCTGCTGGAAGAAAACGTTTTCTGACTGGCTCAAAGTGGCTCAAAAATATTTAGATGTGGTGACAGCCACGCCATGTGAGATGTTCAACTTCACTTTTATTTTAATCAAACCATTCTTGCTGTGTGGATTGATGCCTAATCATGCTAATACACGGCACACCCTTTAGGGGACAATGTCTAAACCATTAGGTGCACATGGTCCTCCAGAATGGTTCGGTAGTCCTTAGTTAGCAGCACAGGATAGGGAATGCCATGATATTGCACCCCAAACTCTGGGCAGCAACTTGCTCTAGCAACTAGCACCACAAAGACTTGCTCTCCTGGTCACAGATGAGCCAGCAAGGCGCTCACAAACAATTTGTCCTCTTTTGAACCCTGATATGTCTCCCCAGCCCGTTCTCATCTTTTAACGTCATATAGAATGCTATATGCAAAAACGGCGCTATACTACGCACATGGCACCCTTTATCGTTAAAGGGTTAGTTCACCCAAAAATGAAAATTAAGTCATTAATTACTCACCCCCATGCTGTACCAACCCCGTAAGACCTTCGTTCGTCTTCGGAACACAAATGAAGATATTTTTGATTAAATTTGAGAGCTGTATAACTACCAGATTGGCTCCTAAAGGACTGCCTCTTGACGGCCCAGAAAGTCAATGAAGAAAATGTTTAAATATCCCAAGTGACTACCATGGCTCAACTATAAGTTTATCAAGCGAAGACAATACTTTTTGTGCGAAAAAACAAACAAAAATAACGACTTTATTCGACTATTCCTTTTCTTCCTTGTTGGCCTGAAACGAGACTTTTCAATACGATTACGACGATGCATGCGCGAGAAATTGCGATCTCCTTTAACTACTTCAGTTCAGTTCTCGCGCATGCGTCGTGGAAATCGTATGGAAGTCTCGTTTCAGGCCAACAAGGAAGAAACGGAATAGTCGAATAAAGTCGTTATTTTTGTTTGTTTTTTCGCACAAAAAGCATTCTCGTCGCTTGATAAACTTATAGTTGAGCCACTGTAGTCACATGGAATATTTAAACATTTTCTTCATTGACTTTCTGGGCCGTCAAGAGCCAGTCCCTTAGACAGTCTATGTGGTAGTTATGCAGCTCTCAAATTTAATCAAAAATATCTTCATTTGTGTTCCGAAGAAGAAACAAGGTCTTACGGGGTTGGTACAGCATGGGGGTGAGTAATTAATGACTTTTAATGAACTAATTAATGAATTTTCATTTTTGGGTGAACTAACCCTTTAATATAACACGCAAATCCAAGACGTCATAAATCCTTTAGCGTGAATATGACACGCAGACCCTACCCCACACCTAAACTTAGCCCTCACAGTGCATGTTATATTAACGATAACGGATGCCACGTGTGTAGTAAAGCGCCGTTTTTGCATGTAGCGTTCTATATGACGTTAAAGGTTGAGAATTGCATTGGTCTCCCATTATGTTATGAAGATTGCAATATTTTATGTATGGACCAGTGTGGGACTTTCACACTCTGCTCTTACTGATGGAATGTAAAATCAGAAGATCATTGGCCACCAGGCCGTACATATACAGTAGAGGCTATACATACACTATATCAGCCAGTCTTTCATTTATTTGTACAATGAAACTGAAACACTGCCAATATAGTGTTGGAGGTTTCATACCGTTGAATTAATTTAATGGAACATAAATTCAGAAAATACTGCTCAAAGATGTTAGCTGTTGTGTACCTCGTGGAAACTGATGGCTGTCATGGCTCCTTGGCGCAATTTCTTTTGGAAATTCTGGGCAAGCTTTAGCTCCTCATCATTGAATCGATTGTGCCTGAAAAGTACTGCTATTTTCACCACCACCTTAATGAGGTCTTTCACCACTTTCTGGGCCTCTGAGCGGTTCCCACTGTACTCTTTTGACACACGGTAGAGCTCATCTAGAATCTCACTGCTGGTGTCGTCGATAAACATCTGTACCACAGACTTGTTGGCCATTTGGCTCAGGATCTTTTTCTGGGCCTTGAGAGCCATTTCCTTGGAGCTGAATGCCTCCATATCTTAAAAAGGAAAAAGAGAGATTAATAGTAAAGCATGAGACTAGCATAATAACAATGTCATGTAAAATGGCATTATCACATGGTGAAATTTCTGAAATATTCTTATGATTAACTGTGAATTTTCCATTGAATTTTATTTCTGTTTGTGTATTGGTAAGAGTGTCAGCCTTGGGAGAACTCCCACCATGGGGAAGTCCCCTTACAGTGTAACTTTAACACTTTCTTTTCTTCAGGGGAAAGCTCATGCCATATAGGACCTCATCATTGCCCACACATCTCATAAACAACACTAATTGTTCTCAAGACTCTCATGACGTGTCATCATATCCAGCACTAGACTCAATGCTGTTCAATGTCATCCAAACATCTGTGATCAGTGTGACTTATAGCATTCTGTATTTCATCATGTTTAAATTTACATGATGTTGTTGTGCAGTATAATTAAATGCAATAATATTGAAGGGTTAGTTCACCCAAAAATGAAAATTAAGTCATTAATTACTCACCCCCATGCTGTTCCAACCCCGTAAGACCTTCGTTCATCTTCGGAACACAAATAAAGATATTTTTGATTGAATCTGAGAGCTAGATCAGTCCTGATAGACTGCCTAAGGGACTGGCTCTTGACGGCCCATAAAGTCATTAAAGAAAAGGTTTAAATATTCCATGTGCCTACAGCGGCTCAATTATAAGTTTATCAAGCGACGAGACTACTTTTTGTGCGAAAAAAACATAAATAACGACTTTATTCCACTATTCCATTACTTCCTTATGGGCGCATGCGCGAGAACTGAGACGAGGACGTTCTCATTCGTCTACTTCTTGTTACCGGCTGCTCACCGCTCAGGAGTTTTACCGCCACTTACCGTATAAAATGATGATCCATATATAAGGCGCTCCGGATTATAAGGAACACTGTTTTTTTTGAGAAGATTAAAGGCTTTTAAGTGCACCTTATAGTGCGGAAAATACGCAAATTGAAAAGCGTATGTACAGCGCGCATCTTCCTCTGCTTGTAAACAGAAAGTTTTGCGCTTCCAGCTATATCAGCACATCATCTTATACGGTAGGGGGCGGTAAAACTCCTAAGCGGTGAGCAGCCGGTAACAAGAAGTAGACGAATGAGAACGTCCTCGTCTCAGTTCTCGCGCATGCGCCCATAAGGAAGTAATGGAATAGTGGAATAAAGTCGTTATTTATGTTTTTTTTTTGCACAAAAAGTGGTCTCGTCGCTTGATTAACTTATAATTGAGCCGCTGTAGGCACATGGAATATTTAAACCTTTTCTTTAATGACTTTATGGGCCGTCAATAGCCAGTCCCTTAGGCAGTCTATGTAGGACTGATCGAGCTCTCAGATTCAATCAAAAATATCTTTATTTGTGTTCCAAAGATGAACGAAGGTCTTACGGGGTTGGAACAGCATGGGGGTGAGTAATTAATGACTTAATTTTCATTTTTGGGTGAACTAACCCTTGAACTGAACTTTATGCATTTTGGCTGATGTAGAACACAGCATAGCTTCGGATTGCTTCACAGATTGCATAGTCAGGAGAACGTGCAAAGACATGTATGGAAAAAACCCTCATTGCATTGTACTCACAAGTTCCTACATGACTCTTCAGCTTGTATCATGAAACAGGCGTCTATGTGCTTAAATATGTTCTTCGATGTATTAATGCAAATTTGAGGTCTTATACTTATACTTATATATTTTCTACGCTCTAGAGCTCTTGTCATTGTTGATTATCTTTTTGTACAGCATTTACTAAAAATTCTCTACAGATATACAAATGCAATAACTGCAAAGTATATTAACATGCAAATGACATGCACTGTTTTATTTTAAATGAGTCAAGACATGCCCAAAGTGATGTCATATTTCAAAGCGTATTAGCTCTGTTTTGCTTTTTAAATCTAATTCTGTTTATGGCGAACCAACCTGATTAAATTTTAATGCAGTTAGAGTTTCATTTCCTAATGAACTCTATTCAATTAGAGTGCATTAGAATAGCCATTATGTTCTGTGACATGGAACATCAAAACAACTACATAAATACTGATTTGAACAAATCTTCAAAACTGTGAAAGCAGCATAATCCTATTTAACACCCACTATACTTCTCATTTACTCTAATTAGAGCATAAAACGGATCTGCTGTCTAGTGTTTGACCATGTCTACTTTTTTTTATTGGATTTTTTAAGAAAATAGATATAAAAAGTTGGTTCTGCTCTGGACTTCAACCTGTTCCTGGTCAGATCAGGCTTACTGGGCTTGATTTTCTTTGCTTTTTTGACTCTACATTACATAGTATTCTAAAATATAGTATGAAATACTATTTAAAACATAATTTTAAGTAAGAAACCACAGTTTGTGTGTGAATAGTCAATCATGTGCGTCAGGCAAGAGTTAATATAATTTGTTTTGAAAAATAAAAGTACAATTATTTAATAATTGTAACAATTCTTCATATTTGTAAAATAGTTTTTAATCTTAATATTATTTGATAAAATACATTATTTACTAAAATAACATTTATTTATGAATAATAAATGGTTAATAATTGAATATTAGTATTATTTGATAAAAATGAATTTAATACAGTGTAAATACTGTATATTTTTTAGGGCCCACACCGAGCTCATTCGTATCTGACAAGATGAGATATAAGCAACTTTACCTTAATTTGATTACAATTGACTTTTAATCCAAGACTCTTAGCTAAAAAGCATCTAAGGCAATCTAAGCTCAAGCAAATTCATTCATTTTATACCTGTTCAGTTATAATCAGCTGAAATTACCATCTGTATCAACTCTCCTGATTTAAAGGTTTGTCCTAGATAAGGTAAATATTTAGCATTCCTCAGATGACTTTCACGCATAGCCTGAAGCTCTCTCTCTCTCTCTCTCTTTGTGTTTGTGTGTGTGTTCACATGTGTGTAAAGCCCAGGGGATTTACAGGATGTGAGGAATCATGTTGTTCTTCCAACCTAAAGACCACAGTAGTCACCCTGTCATTACAAAGCAGCAAGCCACAGCACAAGCTCCAGTGACAGCATAGAAGAGACAGGTCAAAACCTGCATCTGAGATCCACAGCCTACTCTTTGGGGTTTTTGATTCAGAGGGGTATAACGTGACGTTTACAATAAAAATGATAGTGTGGAAAGTCATGTTTTAAAGAGGTAGTTCACCCAAAAATGAAAATTCTGTCAGTATTTACTCGCCCTCATGCTGTTCCAACCCCGTAAGACCTTTGTTCATCTTCGGAACACAAATTAAGATAATTTTGATTAAATCTGAGAGCTGGATCACTCCTGCATACTAGTCCATAGGCTTCTTGAGGAATTGAAACTTGCTGGCCTCAAATTTATTAAAGACATCGTTAAAATAGTCCAAGTGACTAGACTACATCTTAAATTTATCAAATGACGAGAACAATTTTTGTGTGCAAAAATAACGACTTTATTTCAACTATTCATTTTCTTTTCTCTCTGCCCCGAGTCAGGTTACTAGTTTAATAGCGTAAGCTTCTGTTATTGTACGTCACACGCATCACACACATGACCAGCGTCGGCCAATAGTGAGCCTACGTGTGACGTAGCCCTACGCTATCACACTATGTTAACTGACAAGAGGCGCATAGAGAAGGAAGTGAATAGTTGAAATAAAGTCGTTATTTTTGTTAGTTTTTGCGCACAAAAAGTATTCTCGTCACTTGATAAAGTTACGATTGAGCCACTGAAGTCACTTGGACTATTTTAACGATGTCTTTAATAACTTTTCGAGGCCGGCAAGTTTCAATTCCTCAAGAAGCCTATGGAGTAGTATGTAGAGTGATCCAGCTCTCAGATTTAATCAAAAATATCTTAATTTGTGTTCCGAAGATGAACGAAGGTCTTACGGGGCTGGAATAACATGAGGGTGAGTAAATACTGACAGAATTTTCATTTTTGGATGAACTAACCCTTTAAGTGTGTAAGTGGGACATATAGACATTTTCTGAATGGCTCTTGGCTAATTTAAAATGATTAAAAAAAACAACAACAACTCCTGCTTAATCCAGTCTAAGATGGTGTACTGATCTTAAATTTAAACATTTTTTAGGTAGGCTAAGCTGGTCTTCAGATAGCCTCCCTCTAAAACCAGCCAACAGACCAGCCTGGGCATCCAGGTGACACCAGCATAGGTTGATGGTAATTTTAGCTGGGAGAAAACTACTTAAATTATCCGAAACCAGCATGGAATTAAACTGGTTTATAATGATGTTCTTCATTAACAAAAAGACAATGGTCTTTCTGATTCAGCTGATTGACTGCGAAACCCCAGCTGGTTTAGCTAGTTAAGTTGCCTGATCAGCATCCAAAACACAACATATGCAGATCTTTTCAGCCTGGTATTCTCTAATAATAACCGGTTTAGACTCATTATTCCGAGAAAATCATTAAAGAATCAGGCCTTGTATGCGCATGTTTTAAACAGTTTCTACACTGACATGCATGTAATACGGCGAGTGTGTTGCTTGTTCTTGTGTAATGTGTCTCCCCCTCAGTATATCCCCACAGCACAGTAAGTTTTGAGTATGTGATTATTACATACCCCCTTATTACCCAATACAACCTGTATGTTTTTTTAAATGTGCATTTTCATTCTATGCATGGGGTAAAGGTCCAGTGTTGTTTTTCTTTGTAAAGTTAGCACTCATATGCATGTGTGAGTCTCTCACTCATCCTGAGAAGTTGTTTTGTAATATGATCAAACAATGTACAAACCTGATCAGAAGGGAAGTGAAACTCTGGGCTTTTTGGCACAACTTTCCCCCCAAATTTTTCAGTTAAACCCACAACAGCTTATTTCTCTTGACACATGGCACATGCTGCTACAAAAAAGCTCACAATCTATCCATAGCCTGAGTTCACCAGGGTTAAGACACTGTGACCCTGAAGATGAGGCATCACACTCTTTATTTCAATACGAGGTTCTTCAGATTATAACAGAGACTGGACGTTGTTTCGTTTATAAAAGGTCCAGCGAATGAAACATCAACTACAGTGTTTTAGTTGTTTAACATGGGAGTGGTTGAACAGAAAAAACAAGTTTCAACTTGACATTATTGTCTACAAACCTCCATATGTTTAAAGCAGACACTTTTAACCAAAGCAACTCTGTACAATTAAAGTCTTTCTTGCTGTTAAAACAGAATATTGACCTCTTTTTAATCTTAACAACTTCTGGAAGAGCCCCATAATCCATTGAAGTAACAACATCTCGTGTACATAATCACAGAGCTCTCTATGATGTAGGAGAGGGCAGAGGTCAAGACCAAGACAAACTTACCTGGCTTTTCTCTCGTTCAATCTCCCTCTTCTGTTTGAACTCTCTTTCCTCCCTGAGCGCTCAGATCAGGTGTTTGAAATCCAGCATGTGAGTGATGAAATAATCTCCTCAGACAGGTGAAATCAAAGAAAACTCTTCTACAAACTCTTTTGTGCTGTAACAAGCTCTCTGTAACAAGATAATTTGACTTGTACTTCCTTGAGGAACTAAATGTATAAGACACACCCATGAGTGTGCCTCTCTCTCTCTCTCTCTCTCTCTCTCTCTCTCTCTCTCTCTCTCTCTCTCTCTCTCTCTCTCTCTCTCTCTCTCTCTCTCTCTCCACCCTGTCAGTGAGTTAGCTGCTGACATGGTGTGTCTGCTTGCCCTGACAAGTGCAACCCTTGTAAAGAATTCAGCAGTAATCCTGGATGCGGCCTAGTGAAAGGAGAGGTTTTAGCCTCTTTGTGATAAGTAGAACTGGTATGCAGCCACTGTCATCACAAACACTGCTGTTTCTCAATAAAATGTCCATGAACATTATTATTGGATTCAAATTGTGATATTTCATTTATTATGTTCTATATTAAGTTATATTTTCTAATCTGGAATGTCGCTAGCAAACAATGAGTCGCTAGCCAACAGCAGCACTCTTGGAAATGTGGCCAATCAGATTTGAGGACTGGACACTAAATGAATAAATAATACATTATTTATATATAATTTTTTTCAAGAGAACTGGGGTGTGTTTTCCATGATAGTGTTGTTTGCTTATTGACCACTGTCTCAATGTTTTGCACCTGCAAAACCACGATATTATTTTGCACTGAGTAACTCTCACTTTGCATGACCAGTTATTTGTTTATACAGTAAAACAACAACAACAGAAATATTATTGATTTTATGCAAATTGGATAATGCTCAGTTCCTAGATTTTTTTTCTTTTTACGTTTATGTGTCAGCTAGGTCCAGCTTTATTTCTTTATATTATGAAGTTACTAACTTTTTTCAGTGCCATCATATTTTTTTGGCTACTTTAAAAAAACCTTTATATATAGTTTTAATTCTTTGAGATTAAATCTTAATCAGATATTATTATCACTTTGATAATAACAGACGGGAAAGGCTTCCTTTCCCACACTGGCTTTGCATATTCACTAAAGCCTTAAAAAAGCCTTAAAAATGTGTTTGCTCCTAATAAAGATTTATTTATTGATTTATTTGTACACATATAATCACATAATATAAGTAGGCAAATATATATATACTAGGTTAAAACACAAAAGTCCCTTTATAACTGTACATATTATTTTCTAAAGCAGCTGATTATTTGATATATTCCATTTCATTTTAGAGGCCTAACAACCAATTACAACACACAGAGAGACTGGTGAGAGAGCTGGGTGATAACATTATTAATATTATTTGCCTCTTTCTTGTGCAAACGTCATTGTTTATTCACAAACAAATCGCTGTACAATTAATTGGTCCTGTGTCATAGAAAGACACCCTCAGGGCTAATGTCTGTGCATTGGTAATGTCCATTCTAAAAATGGCTGCTTATCTGCCTGCTATCTGAATGGAAACCATCTGGACTTAAGCCGTAATGCATATAATAATGGACTAAAAAAGGAATCGATGCATCTGGCTCGACTCTTAAAATAAAACTTTTTTTTTTTTTCACAATCATAGGTTAGGTCTATCAGCTGAATTCTCAAGTTACAACAGCTTTCTCTTTCAGTTGTGAGATTGAGGCTGAAAACATGACATGTGTTTTTCTGCAAAGCTAAGAGCGTTCGGGCAAAGTAAGAATTAAGCTTGTCTCCAAGGCAACAGACAGGAAGTGTCGCTTAAGTGGTTTCCTGATGGCTTCCTCTTTATCGCTGAATGATATCTGACATGGTGTGTGTGTGTGTGTGCAAATGTTTAATGTGTTTCAGAGATAAAGCAATGAGTATCCAGTACAGTTTGATGAATTTAACTTGACTGCCTTAATCTTTTTATTCTTAATCTTAATCTTTTTTACATGTTTAATCAGTATCAACACATTTTCAGATTTCTGTTACATTTTCTTACATAATTTGTGTTCTTCCTTTTTTAAGTCTAAGCAGACTTACTTGACAGTAACAATGAACTTGTGGCATTGGAATACGTCGCATACGTCACATTCTAAGTATGATGCTAGTGTTTCCTGGTTTATCTGGTATCTCATTTTGTTTATGTGTGTGTGTGTGTGTGTGTGTGTGTGTAGGCCTGTCTGAACGTAGGTGTATGTCTTTGGGTGAATGTGTTCACGTGCTTTATTTAGGTCACTTGAGATTATCTGATATGTTTGCAAGTATGTGTTTCATGGCAATTTTACAGTGCTCATCAAACAATGAATTCAAACATAATCTGTAAACAATTGCATTTAACATTTTAGATATACAACAAACTCACTGTTGTTACAGTAACCGAATGAATACAGGGATTTGGCACATCTGTATCATAGTGAAGCTCTCTAGTTCAAGATAAATATAGTAACTGTACATGCAAATGTTCTTATATAGTCAAAAGATAGATTGATTTTAATACATCACATCTGTTAACTGTCACCCTCCTGCTAGCGGGATATTTAAGGTTACTTCAATATTTTCCTACTAAATCTTAATCTAATCATGGCAAACTATATCGTTTGAAAGGTCTAAGATTCAAGAATACATATTTGTTGATGATTTTGCAGAAAAAATATATGTTGAAAGAGTAATGGATTAATATATGGCAAGAGTACACATCAGAAAAATCTGTATCATTACAGGAGTTTTCAACTTTGTAACAAAAAGTCAACTACACTTTTAATCATTCAAACTTTGATTTGCTAAACGTTCACAATAAAACATATATAATCTAGTATTTGTCAATAAAAAAATAATAATATTATCCTCTTATCACTTAAGAGGATAATATTCTTTATTATCGTATCACTTATCACTCTTTTCTTATCACTTTTTTATTCCATCACATTTAGTAGTTATTATAAATTAGGTATCATTTGAATGCTTACAAACTCAGAATTCATCCTGTGAAAACTTTTGAAATTGAATGTTGCGTTACCATGGAAACGTTACTCTAAATTATTTTATCAGGCTCCGTCCCTTTTGGGCATCATCATGTTTCATAATTTATGATCAAAACCTTTTCTAATCATGTCAAAGCACATATTGTTAGAAAGGTCTGAGTCTCAAGGTTCCATATTTTGTGACAGAAGTGAAATTTATCTTTATTTTATGGCAGAATGCACACTATTAAATTCCATGGATTTCAATGTCACCCGGTGGCTATTTTTGATATTACGCCCAAACAAAATCTCATTGGAACTTACATTTTTGTGATATCAACTTCAGATTTGGAACACAACTTGGTTAGATATATAGCTTGGACTTTCTGTCATTTTTAGCCTGAAACCTATATTTCATTGATATATATATATATATATATATATATATATATATATATATTCTAATGAAAGAAAAAAGATATATTTGATTTAATTTTCATAACAATAAAATTTATATTAATTTAACTTAAATTATATTAATTTATTAAATTATATTAAATTATATTAATATAACTTAACTATATTTAATTATATTAATTTGTTCCACTTTTATTCCACTGCCAATAGTCTTCTTTTAAAAGAGACCAACCGCAAGTCTTCAGGGTCCACAGGGTTCACGAATTACAACCGTTTAAGTTTGGGTAGTGCATTTACAAGTCAAAGCTCAAAAAGGGGGTGACAGCAAAACATTCAAATACAATTATTCAAACTATTTAAAGAGGAAGTAGCAGCCGAACTGCATTTGAACATCCTCTCTTATTTTCGATTTACTGTCAAATTGTGATCCAAATACATCATGGAATTTAGTTACCACCAGTATTTTATTTGACACTAAGAAGTATCTTATCATGGCAAGAAGACATCTAAGAAGGAGTCTGCATGAAAAAAATAAGGTTTATGTACCACAGTCAGCATTATTCACCAGATTTATTCCCAAAAATTACTTTTAAAATTCAAGCTGTAAAGATTCACTAATATAATAAGTACTATTTTATGAATCTTCCCCTGGATATTTACAGCAATTTGCAGGCTGTGCTTCGCATAGGAATGTTCGCTGGTAATCGTGAGTACTGGCTTCTGAAACTGTGCTTTGTGTTGTTAAGCTCTGTAGCTGCATTCTCCTGGCCACCAGCAGGTGGAGTGCTTTCCTTTGCATTTTCTACCTTCCCTTCTTTGTTATTCTTTGTCCTTTTAACCTTTTCTTTGTCCTGCTGGGACTCATTGGTGAATGTGTTTGAGTCTGGAGTGCCCTCTAGTGCTGGCAGGGCATCAGGGGGCAGGTCAGTGGGAGTAGGCTTGCCCTCAGCCTGCTCCTCATTGGGGGTGTTCAGGTTTGATGGGGAATGTTTGCTGTTGGAGCAAGAGGACCTGGACGAAATTACATTTAAGATGGAAGACAGAAACACAACTGTTAAGCACTGTTAAGCATGATGGAAAGACATGATCAATTGAATCTTAAGCATGATGGAAAAACATGATCAATTGAAAGGCATAAGGTTATGGCCTATGGCAGGTAATTCATATCATCATGTTTAAGGCATCAAAATGATTCATTATAAATGGCAGAGAATATGAAGTGAAAGATATTCGCTTAACAGCAAAACCAGCAACTTGCATTATGTTTTGTGTTTTCTGGTATGCTAAGTGTCATCCTCGACTAGCAAAACATCATTGGTTACCCATGATGCTTTTCAACCAGTTTTACCAGCTAAGTTTTGTAAACTTACTAGAATTCTGGTCTTTTTTCAGCTGCGTAGATCACATAGTTGTTGTGCTTTGACTTTTTCCAAACTCACCCATTTGAGCTTCTGTCCTCTGAGTCTTTCTGCTCATTGCTGTATCTGAGCTCTGCTGGAGTCTTAAATGACAGATCTTGCTTCAGCCAATATGTCTTCATATAACCTTTACCCTGAATCAAGAGGGATTACATTTGATTTCACACCACTTTATTTGTTTGCAGTATGAGTAATATAATGTCATATACTAAAAAAAAAAAAAAAAACAGTATTTATTTGAAAAGTTTTACACAAAGTATTGAATGGTACTTTTAGACATAATGCTAGATAGATAGATAGATAGATAGATAGATAGATAGATAGATAGATAGATAGATAGATAGATAGATAGATTGGTACCTTCATGGTACATATTTGTACAATTATGGTACCAATATGCACCCTTTAGGTACAAAAGTACACCTTTTTGAAAAGGTACCGCCCCAGTGACAGATTTTGTACCTTTTTTTCTGACAGTGTATGAGGAAACACATATAACATGTGACACATATCCAAATACATATACAAACACACATCAAATGTGAAAACCTCTTTATGTAACCCCTCATTTATATTTATATGTAACCCCCCCGCATTTATATTGCTCAATGCAACTGTTTTTGGGAAGACTTTGGTCCATGGATTAAACTGTGGTTAGGCCCGGACTATGTTATGCTACGTTATGATTGTGAATTAATTTAAACACTACCATTGGAAATTTAGGGTCAGGAAGATTTTTGTTAAAAATGTATTTTCTTTTGAACGTTCTTTTAATCAAAGAATTTTGGAAAAAAATTATCACGGTTTCTAAAAAAATATTAAGCAGCGCAACTGTTTTCAACATTCATAATAATAACTAATGTTACTTGAGCACCATAAAACACTTCTTAAAAGAAAAAAAAAACATTGTTTCATTGGTGTTTACATTAGTTTTGGAAGTTTTAAAGTGCAGAACATTGTTGATAATGACAGTGAAGATGTTGGTGATGATAATTATGTACAGTACCTTAACAAAAATCTTTCCACGTTCCTCAATGATGTATGGCTCATGCTCCAGATGGTCTTTGGTGGTTTGACTGATGTGAATTTGCATGCCCTAGCCAGAGAGAGAGAGAGTAAAATTAGCTGTTTAATTAACTGTATTTCCTGTAAAATATCATTTAAAATGACTCATTATTTATTTCATGATAAGACAGTTTTGTATAGTTATTTGAGGCTGTTCATTTCTCGTCTCAGTACAGCATAAGAAAGTGGCCTACCACGCCATTTGACTCCATCCGGGAAGCCGTGTTCACAGTGTCTCCGAACAGACAATACCTGGGCATTTTCAGACCCACCACCCCTGCCACCACCATTCCAGAGTGAATGCCTGTGTGAAAACCAAAACAAAAGCCTTTAGCTGGAGCATGAAGAGTTTAAAACATTGTGTGGCACGCATACAAATTATGAATACTTCAGATGAAAGGGTTGTTGTTTTGTTATGCATGGAATACTGTGTGAGTCCGGGTGCACATACCAACACGGATCTGGATGTTGTCCCCGGTGGAGGGGTCTTTTAGGTGATCAATGGAGCTCAACATATCTAGAGCCATGTCACAGATGTGGTGGGCATGAAATGTGGTTTTATTGGGCACACCTGCCACCACCATGTAGGCATCCCTAATGGTCTCCACCTGAGTGAGCAAGAGCGTTAGTTGAGTTTTATTACGCACTCAATTTGAAGCGCTTTAATAATGACAATAAATATGGAAGGTACTGTACTTAATTCGAAATTAGAACGTTTTATTAAAAAATAGGGATGATATAACAATTCTGGCAGATATTTTCTGGTATTTACCAATATTTACATCTGAAATTATTTTTAAGGCCATGGTCGATATTAAAGACTGATTTATAATGGACATTATAATAAATGGTTATTCATTTTAAGATTTGACAAATATTACAAATACTTATATTTTAAAGTTTGGGGTCAGTGCGATTAAAAAAAAAAAAAGGAAATACATTTTTTCATTCAAGGATGCATTAAATTGATACATATAATGATACAAAATATTTATATTTACAATAAATGCCGTTCTTTGGGAATTTAAAGAAAAATGGGGAAAAATGTATCATGGTTTCCACATGAAGCAGCACAACTGTTTTCAACATCTATAAAAAAAAATTTCTTGAGCAAATCAGTAGAATGATTTCTGATGCATTGTGTGAAGACACATTTCCATTTTAAAATATATTAAAATAGAAATAGCTAGCTATTGCCAATATTAGATTATAGAATAATCTAATTTAGTGCAATAACCGATATGGTTGTGATATATATCGTGCCTCACTTGTAAAAAAAAAAAGGTTTTGTTTTGAAGGTCTTTTATGTCAAAGAACATGTTGTGTCAGTGGAAAAGTTGCCTTTGTTGGATTTTCTTATGTTACCTTATAAACATTGTGCTTCTCGCTGAGTGTGTCAAAAACGATGTAGATCTCGTTTAACATGTCCACCACCTGCATGGGGCTGATATGGATACAGATCTCATTAAACTTCACCACATCGCTGAACAGGATGGTCACGTCTGGGAACACCTGGAGGGAGATAACAGATCAAGAACAGCGCTTAATAACAGCAGGACAGCACTAGAGGAAAAAAGAAAGTGCTTTTCATCATAATTCATTAACCCTCTTGAGATTTTGATCTCAATGGTCAGTCTATACTAAGTGAAATTCATCTCAACTGTGTGTTCAATTGTGTTTAGAAGTGTGTTTAATGCGTGGTTTGGCATGTACCTGACACGTCTCCAGGGCTGTGATGCCCTTACGCAGTCTGTCCGCCACTGCTTTTGGTATCATGGCATACAGCAGGGAGTCTCCTCTCTTCTTCTCCTCGTCCAGTTTTTTAATGATCTCCTGCAGCTGTGCATATTTCTGCTGCTCCTGTAGGAGGCACAGTCAGAGATCGGCCTGTCATTTCTAGATGCAATAACAACAGACTCTGTGTTTAATAATTGGCTTAATAGACTTGAGTCAGTCCATACTGGACATTCTGTTATAAACTCCTGCATTTGAAATAAAATGTGTCTCTTTAAGGATGGGATTTTGGGCCCGGTTGCATCAGTGTGGACATTTATACCTGGTCAAGTGCCAGTTGCAGCTCTGCTGATTGCTGTGTTCCAGCCAGGATGAGCTCTCTGCTTGAGTCGTGCAGGTTTAAATCGTTGACGTAAACACCCATTTTTATCATATCCTCCACTGTCTCAATACTGTACAAAGGAGAATATTTTTTAATAAAGACTACAACATATGCAACTGTAATCTTTTTATTAAAACTATTTTTTTATGCCGGTAAACTGTTTCTACAGAGAGATCTGACAATTGTAATTGTTTTTAAGGACATATTTGTTGCTTTTGGATGCTTAGCATTTTTGCTGCAGTGTTGGATGCTGTCCAATGTAAATGTAGAACCTGTTTTATTCTCAGAGGTCCGAGAGAGAATGGAAAATGGTCATTTTCAAACTAAATATTGACTAAAAAATCTACGAGAATATAGGACATGGTCCCTTTGAAATGACTTGGCAGAGAACTATCGATTGCCGGTTTAACGTGGCAGTAACTAAACTAATGTATTAGCTCAGACTACAATGTTGCAAAAGTGTGAGATTATGAAATCTTACATGGGAGTTCCTAGAAAGATGAGGGAGTCCCACTGAGGCACATACTTCATCTGGCCCTTAAGATGAAGAGGCTTTTTAGGGGGCTCCCGCATGTCTTCAAATATTGTTTCACTGCATTTGCCTGAACAAGAGAGAAGTTGAATTTTTCATTGCATAGACAAAAGATTTGCATCCCCAGACTGATCTCATGAAGTAGCGTGTGTGACACGGCAATTCGTATTTCCATTTTTCGCGTGCTATCAAGACGCATAATCGCTTTTCAGCGTGTTTATGAACGCCGTTGACTTAACCTTATTACTGTATATATAATTATATGACTTACCTCATCCCCGTCCCTAAACCTAACCGTCACTGGGGTTAATGGCATTTATGACTGTTCCCTTACCATCCTAGGACAAAAAAAAAGATCGCTCCCCAAACGTAGATCTACATTTTGCTTCGTTTCGCACGGACATTTGACGGCGTGTACGGACACGCGGAATCACTTGGACGTTAATGGCGTAGACATACACGCATACACTCGGATACACGCGGATAGCTCAAAATGCGTAGAGATAACATGCCACTTGACTCGAAAGTGGCGTGTATGTTTACGCAAAAGTCATGATGTCATGTTGGCATCCCTTTGGATGATCAAGACTAGAGACACTTTCTGAGGTTCCCAAAACACTTTAAATAATGATTTTAATCTCATTGACTATAGAATTTCTCAGTGTTGTCTTGGATCAGAGTTATGCCACACAAGTGTTCTTTTCTTGAATGTTTTGAAACAATGTCTAGAAAGATGTCAGTGGAACTCATTCAGACCATCCCTTTTCTGGATTGTGTCTTACCGGTGACAGTCTGAAAAGCCAGCAGCTCGATGTCCTCTCCTCCAGAATTAGCTGAGCTGCTGTACTGAGTCAGAGTGCCGCTGTATTCCTGATCTGTCCCCTTCATTTCCTCCATCACTTTAATATCTGAAAGAACAGCAGAGGCACAGTCACAGAAGTCAGCATGAGACATTATCTGCTTTAATCCGTGTAGATCTGTGTAGGCTAGAGGGTTAGATGCATTTCATCCACCAGCTAGAGTACCCTTGATTTGCACTAGAGGGCATCCCATCTTCTTTGCTTTCCCATCATGAACTACACTTCCCATAACCCATTGCCTGGACTCATTATTGATTTATCACTTCTACCTACGTGTCATTACCCTTGTTTACGGAAGCCCTGAACCGCAACCTAAAAAAAAAAAAAAAGTCGGTAAAAAAAAAAAAATCTTAAAAAATAAAATAAAAAATCTAGCATTTCAAGATTAAAGTCGAAATGTTTCGAGATTAAAGTCGAAACGTGCATTCATAACAGTGCGCGTCCATGGGCTCAGAGCGCGCGCGCGTGTGTGTGAAGTCGAACTGCCATGGATAAACACAAAATAGTAGCTTTTTACTTTTATCTGGGCTTTCAATAAAATTCTACACACGTCACACGTGCTAGTGGCAGTCTTTCTGAGTTGTTTTCGTGCTTGTCTAGTCAACACTATCTGGGTCGAGAACACAACAGTAACTGTTCGGTCTCCCTCTTCACCGTAAATACGCTCTGGATACATTTTAAGTGCATCATTCTGTATCCAATCATTTGGCCGGATCCTGTGATTTCCTACGATTTAATAACCACTTATGGTTGAGGAGAGATTCTCTGATATGATTGTAAAACACTTTGAGTGTAGGCATATATGAAAGCGCTATATAAATGCCCTATTCATTCATTCATTCATTCATAAAACTGGATTTCTCCATCCAGCACGAAAACACCTCAGAAACACTGCCACTAGCACGTGTGACGTGTGTAGAATTTTGTTGAAAGCCCAGATAAAAGTAAAAAGCTACTATTTTGTGTTTATCCATGGCAGTTCGACTTCACACACGCGCGCTCTGAGCCAGTGGACGCGCACTGTTATGAATGCACGTTTCGACTTTAATCTCGAAACATTTCGACTTTAATCTCAAAAAATTCCGACTTTAATCTCGAAACATTTCGACTTTAATCTCTAAACATTTCGACTTTAATCTCGAAATGCTAGATTTTTTTTTTTTTTTTTTTTTTTACAGATTTTTTTTTTTTTTACTGACTTTTTTTTTTTTTTTTTAGGTTGCGGTTCAGGTTCAGCGCTTCCGTACTTGTTAACTCTATCTATATAAGCCCTGTTTATTCAGTCATTCATTGCAAAGTCTTGTATCTTGTCACACTGCATTCTGTGTGTTATTTTCTGGTTTTCTGTTTCATGGTTTTGAGATCTTCTGCTTGTTTTCCTGGATTTGCCAGTGTCCTGGATTGTTTGCCCTGTGATTCTAGACTGCTCAAATAAAGCTGCATTTTGATCCTCAACCCCTTGTGGATGTGGATGCTTACATGCTATTAATGTATCTGATTTCTGATGTCAACACCTCTACGGTTCTTGTTCTGATTAGTACATTATAATACATTTCTTCAAGATTCTAAAAGAATAGAAAGTAAAATAGATTTTTTTTGTAACAGTTTTTGCCTTTACTGTAACTTTTAATCGATTTACTCAAATGAAGAATAATTTCTTAAAAATATCTCTCTTGCTGACCTTTGCTTGAGTGAATCGTGTCACTGACTTTATTATTTTTATTTAACGTGATCATTTTTGCTGCAGACTCTAATATAATGTATTCTGCAGAATTCCACATATGACCCCACAGTGAGTGTAAAAATGGTTTAACCAAAACAGAATACGCACTGTACCTCGCTCTTCTTTTTTAGGTTTTTCACTCTCCTCTTTCTCCTCTGGTTCTTCTTTGTTGAGTTTAGGGATGTTGACCTTCTGTTTGCTCTCCACCACAGCCTTAGACAGCAGTTCAAACACATTGTTGAGGTGGGTGTAGATCTGAAAGAGCACACACCAACAAAGCACCTTTTCAGGACACAAATGCCAAGAGCATGAAAAGGAAGCATACAACATTTTTTTTTTTTTAAACGCCTCATCTCTAAGTTGTTGGTTGTTACTTTTATAGTGCTTTGGATCTATCCTCCAACCTTCCAGCTCACTCACATTATCCCAGCTGAATTCCAGCATGGGTCGCACCAGGGTAAACTCCTCATCAACCTTTTTACCCTGCAGATCAGAAAACACCTCTTTCAAACCATCTCCTATCCGATACATGGTCATGTCCCTGCGGAATATTACGCTGAAGGGGAACATGTCAAAAAAGATTCCTCTCTTCATGGGCAGTTTCTCATAGCCTGGAGCTGTTTTCTGCTGGGGCATGCGGTGCTTAAACGCAGCGTTGTCAAAATTCATCTTGTACACCTTCAGAGAGAGTGAGAAGATAAAAAATGTGAGAAATAAAGAATAACAGAGCAGGGTTTGTGTATACAGAGGAAGGTAAAAGTCTCGTCTGTTTGGACTCTTACCACATATGTCATTTTCTCTGTTTCCTCTTTGGATAGAATCTCCACCTCAATGTCTGTGTTGTAAAACTGTCGACCCACCTGAGAGAGCTGCCCTACAGAGGACCCACAACAGATTAAAAAAAAAAAAGGCTGACTAGCTTTTATTGTCTAAGATCTAGTCGAACATTATTTTATCACATCTCATTGATTCAACTTTACTTTCAGATCATTATTTTAACAATAATGTTGCACATCTCTCAGGAATTTTAATATGCAGTTTAATATGCAGCAAAGAACGCATGCAGAGATCACCATTATGCTCATCCTGTTAATATGGTAACTGTTCATTCAGTAAATGATGTACAAAGCAGATTTAATAACCAAATGTAAGGAGGCTCAGTAGGAAACAATTTGTCTCAGATGTATCATTTTTTAAAATGTAAATTATATTAGTTGTAACTTGGTGTAATCGGATGGAAATCTTAATACTTGGCCTGTAGTTTTTATTGTTGTTAAAAGTTCATTCTGGGCCTTGACTTTGCATTATTAGTGACTATTTCTTCAGGATACGTTTTTACGTCAGTAGGTGGCAACAGGATACTGTTTGAATGACTGTTAGTGACTTATTGAATCATTCAATAAACCAATTTGTTCTGATTCATTTAGGAATGAAACAAGCAAGGGCTGCGTTTACACTTGGAATGAACATGCGACCACCGTGATCCGATCTAGCAGATCATTAGCCAATCAGGACATGGGACCTTCTTCAGATAATGTTGTACAATTAAAATGAAAAATGACACACACCGTATCATGAGAGACTAAATAAACTGTTTTAAAGGTTGATGTTTATTGTAAGGTTCAAATAAGTTAAATTTCTAGTCTAAACTGCGGCAGGCCATTATTTTTTGACAGCCACTTGGGGAGACTGGGCGGGGATTTATATGATGCCACCATCTGAGGCCCTGTTTACACGAGAACGCTCGCGGGTGAAAACGTAAAAATATTTTATTCGGATGTGCCTTTCGTTTACACGGCGACGGCGTTTTTGAGGCTTAAAAACGCAAAAAAGTGAAACCACCCTCCAAACTGGAAATCTTAAAAACGGTAGAAACGCAAAAGTCTGCTTGACAGTGAAGGTTGTACGCAGATGCGTGGACTTGGTGTTGTTGTAATATGCACTCCTAGCCGCCTGAAGTGCATACTACATTGAATTTCACACACTTTTGCGTCACCATTTGCACGCGGATTTCCCACACAAAACGCTCGTCTAAACGCACAATAAAAAGTGATGACGCAACACCACTTTTGCGTTTTCTCTTCAGAATCGTTTCCGTGTAAACATAGCCTGAATGTTGATACGATCCTGGATTGCGTTTACATTACATTGAGTTCCGACCAGAAACGTATTGTTTACACTTGTCTTTTCAATGTGTAGACAACATCCTGATACAAGCCGGATGTTAATGGCAAGTGTAAACGCAGCCTTAGCCTATATGTGAATCATATGATATAATCATTTATCCACTCGATTCAGTCAGCATTGAGCGAAACATCACTTTCTGTTTCTCTGAGATGCCCAATATTTAATTCTAATTTAAATTTCATTTGAATTCTTTTTTTAATGAAGTAACTATACTGTGACTGAATGTATTGATTTGTTGTTTATTGAACTGTTTAAAATCAATGTCACACTTGCAGTCATGCTGCTGGTCTGAATATAATATACGCTCTACACTTACAGTAGCACTATTACCTTTGACAAACTGTGTGAATCCTTTCCTTGTTGAACGGTAGTGCAGGGTAAGACTTGTTTCACATTCTTCCTCTACACAGAAACTGGGAGGCTGGACTTTTGGGAAGGAGAAACGGAAGTACTCATGTAGGTTATCCAGCTCATTGATGAAATCTCGTACATTACGCCCCAGTACCTGAGACAAAGACATTAAATGAGATTTAAAATCTGTGTAAAATGTGTTCATTGAAAAAAGCCCAATAAACAAAAATAGAAGAAAAATGTCACACACTACCTGTAAGTTTGAGGTTGGTAAGATGTTTTCGTTTCTTGAACGATATTGTAATAGAGCAATTCTTTTTAATATAGGCAGTTTAAATAAACGATATGACAGTTTATTTATTTAAAAACAATATATTTAAAATAATTTTATTATACTATTAAAACCTCTTATGGTCATCAAAGCTGAATTTTATTTAATTAAAAATACAGTAAAGACGTTAATATTGTGAAATGAAATATTAAAATTTGAAATTACTCTTTTAATTTTAATATGTTTTAATATATTGTAAAATGTAATTTATTTTTGTGATGGTAAATTATTATTATTATTCAATGTTGAAAACTGTTGGGCCGCTTAATATTTTTGTGGAAACTATGATACATTTTTTCCCTGGGTTCTTTGAAGAATAAAAAGTTTAAAAGCACATTTGCTTTTTTTTGCGAAAGCACATTTTGCAAAAAAAAAAAAAAAATATTTTAAATAACATTTTTGTATAAATGTAAAAGTCTTTTCTTTCACAATTGACCAATTAAAAATAAATCGGTATTTTGATGGTCCCTTTTGAGCATTCTGTTGACTATAACGTTGCAACTATACATGTCAACTAACTCAGATTAGAGTATTAGACTGTCTGCTTAATATCGGCTAACTCTTCATTGTTATGGTCCTTCAAAAGATTTTTCACTGACTATAAGTAACTTTGCAACTACAGGTACATGTTAACTTATTTTAACTCTAACCCTACCAGCCTACTAATACTAAACTAACACCCTAATGAGAGTTAGTAGACATGTATACAGGTGCAACATTACTTGTAGTCAACAGGATAAAAAAAAATAGAAACCAAAAAATCTTACTGACCCAAAACTTTTAAATGATAGTGTATATGTTTATCTAAATTAGTACCTGTCAGATACAGAGTCTACTATGCTTGAAAATCACCTTTAAGATCCTCTCATAGCCATAGTTTCCTATCCGCTTGACCATGTAGACACCGAAAGCGTACATCAGCTCATCGTGAGTTTTTCCTAAAACCTCACCAGCTGCCTTTGCCAATCTTAGGATCAGATTATCGCTGAAATAATAAACACAAACATTGTTAAGTTATCCAGATGCAAACTATAACACTTTATCAGATATGTGACACTGCACTTTCAGGACTTACTTGTACATCTGGTGGCGAACAAATTTGAGGTGCGGGATCTCCGCTCTGGCCTCGATTAGCCTCCATACGTCCTCTCCATATGATTCATTAATGTAGTCATTCACCGCTTCCAAATACAGGCCATACATCTTCAGGGGGTTTGGAACCTCCAGTTTGCTGCTAAAAATATGATCAGTCTGCAGCGAGCTCAACCTGGATCAGAGATGTGTCATGGACATCAAGAGGCTTTTAGTCCAGCTTTTAGTTAGGCTTTTGTGGCAAAAAATCAAGATGCAAACAAGTAGAGATTGAGTCGAAGAAATCCTATAAAAAGTCCTTTATACAAATAGGTGTTCACTAATATTATATTGTTACTGACAGTTTTGTGTAATCTATGAGAGTCTGAGTGTTTATTCTTGGCCTTTTTTTGTCTGCATGTGTAAAATGCTACTTTGATCGATGGGTTGTGCTGTTAAAAAGTCTCCACTGTGATTGAGGCTATTTAATGTAGCCTACAACATCTTCTATAACATCTATATATTCACATTAGAATTGTAACAAATAATATACCACTAATGACCACTAAATTTGATAGATCTAGTAGATCATGATAGAAAAGTAAGAGTAATGTAAATGTATGTGACTTACCTGCAGACCTCAGTCCAGTAATGTGTAGAGGAGTCTGAATTTGGCTAGAGCTACCCCCCCTCACCCCCTTCCCCCCTCTCTCACTATCTCTATCTTTAAACACCTGTTTTTGGCACCTGAAGCACTTCATACTCATTTCTGTCAGTAACAATAGCAGTAACAATGGACTAAAACAAGAGAGTATGTATGTTTGTGGCAGGTGCTAAACAACATGCTATTATAATTAACCATTTTTTTGTGTGAAATTAGATTTTTTTAGTCTCTTAATAAATCCGCTTTCAAACAAATCACACACACACACACACAAACACTTTTGTTTATGACTTGTTTAATTGTGCTTTAAAAGAAAAACTGTGATTATCGTTGTATATCCTTGCTATATTGTAGTTTTGGCGAATAAATTATGCGAATAAATTGATCCATTGTTGGTTGGGGGATTTTAAATAACTAGTAAATAACAGATTTCATTAAAAACTTGCAAATTATTAACCTTTCTCTTTTAAAAATACGACTGTCTCTTTATGCAGTACTCTCAGTATCCGCTAGGGGCCACTGTTGACACAGCGTCGTTACGCCATTGACTCAATGCTGAAAGCAGCAAAATGACTAGGCTGTTGCCCTTTATTTTCAAACGACTTATTGCCATTGCTTTGCAACAAAATAAAATGGCTTATATGTACTATATATGTCACACACACACACACACACACACACACACACACACCATGGTGCGTGGTGGTGTTTTAAAATGAGGAAGAAAAGGCTTTTTTTTGTTGCAAATTTATGTCCCTGTTACTCTGAATTGTCCCAGGTGGTTAAATAAACATTAGCCTACATAAAAAAGAACAAATGCAATTCTATTTTGTATTTTTACAGGCTACAATGTTCTATTTATTCAAGTTAGTGGTTTACGCATGTTTACATATTATTCCAAAATAACTAAAGGCAGTAACAATTTAAACAATATTATTTGTGACCTAATGTTTAGCTTTTCTTTTTAATGGTCAACTTATTTTTTGGCAGTCATCAGGTTTGGACCAACTAAAACATAGTTGAATGAACTATAAAACTAGTTAAGCAAACACACTTTTTTAATTTGGAGTCAAGTGGGCCAGTAAAATAATAATTGAAGCAACAATATGAAGAGAGAAACTGAGTGAACGTAAAAATTCTGTGAAACTAGTTAGTAAATAAGAATTAGTTGAGACAACTTACATTTTTTTTACAGACAGCGTATTTCCCCAATCTTGATCAATAAAACCACCCCAGTCATCATGCTTTCAGGCCATTTCAAGTTTGACTTTGACGTTACATAAAGCGGTGATATCTAAATGGTTGAGTTGTTTACTTACTTTTTAATTAATGCTCTCATTAACGCCTTCATTGTCTTGCATGCAGGCAGACTGGCGCACGAAGAGGCGGGATTTATCGTAGCCACGAACCACTCATATAGTCATAACCGATCATATCCAATCATTGCACGATGGAGGCATATACTTTATATAAACTGAGCGCTTGACACAGTGCAATTAGTGGTGTGTGGGGAATGAACCTGAAAAGCATGAATTGTGCTCATGTAGTTTCATCACAAGCCAACAATTAGCATGTCTTTGTTTCCAGTCACCCAAGAAAAACCTCTCAGCATATCAGCCACTATCTCATATAGTCTATCTGTAGGCTGTTTAAAAACAAAAAACAAAAACTGAACTTATCTCTTTGCATGCTATATAGCAGGCTACAACTATAGGCTATACAGGACACAATGCCATAAACATGACTGAGATCAGGGGTAACAAGGACAGGCTAGCTGTATCACAGTGACGGTTATGTGTTTTTTAAACGCCTTGTTCAAAACTCTTATTTAAGAATATTTTTATTGTATGTATGAACCTATTTTTTTTGCAGTAGCCCTAGCTGTTGAGTACACAAGAGAACACAATAAAACTTCACTAACAAACATTTGTATCCATGTGTAACGGATCCACTGGAGTCAAGTTGTAGTGAGAACCTAAGTGCAGTATTTTTTAATAAACATGACAAGATTTAAACATAAAACAAAAGCATGACGTGGCAAGAAACAAAACCATGGACAAAGACTGACACAACAGTGGTTACAGGACACAATACTTGACACAGACATATGGCAAACAAGAGGGCTTAAATACACAAGACTAATGACAAGACAAGGGATACCTATGAACAATGAACAAACGATTATCCAATGACAAGACACATGGCAGGATCACATGACAAACAGGGAATCACATGGAACATGACATGAACAAACCAAATCGTGACACCATCCGTGACAGCTTGCCCCGATGTAAGAATTCAAGTGTTTGATGAATTCTATCTTTTTCTGTGCAATAACAATTTTATTTATTTATTTATTTACCAAGCAAATTGTACAAACAAGAGTACTTTCTATACAGAGAAAATATAGCCTAGGGGAGCGCGGGGCACAACCTTACGCGGGGTTAAATGGACTTTTTACATAGTTCTTCAGGATCAAGCAGGCTGTCTTTCCGCTCTTTTTCTCTTGCTGCCAGAAGACGGTCTCCCGCGAATTTGCGGAAATATTTGATTATATTTCGTGAAGATACTAGACAAAGAGTGTTTTGACACCATAAAAGTACATTTTTTCATCATATATTTTTTTTCGGTTTCTGAGTTGGGTGTATACGTTTCCAAATCTAACTTTATATTGCCTTAATCACTGTCTTGTTTGCTCAAACAAACATAGCACCGTTTTGAAACATGTCAGCAATTCCTATAACGACTGTTAGCTAGGTTTAAAATATGTAATACACCGAGGGGTTAGTTGTAACACAGTGTTTCAACTAAGCCGCCAAGTGTACAATGATAATCAAATGAAAAAGGAGCCACAACTTTTCAGGTTTGAGTATACATTTAACTTTGTTGGACTTTCACAAACAATGTTGGAATTTAAAATATTTAAAATTTAGTGTGCTATGAATGATAACTTGTTTATTTATTAAAAATATGGCATGTTTTTAATGCAATAAACCCTTTAAATTTTTATTCTAAGCTCATTTGTATTATTATTACTGTTATTATTAATGATAATAATACTTGTACATGCAGCTGCCACACACAAATCTAATTTAATTGCAATTACAATATTTTATAATTTTATTTATTATTATTTATTGCAAAACTGTGCAGCCCTTTTCTATGTCTCTGTCCATGATATTGATCCACAATAGAAGGATGATCGGATGAGGGATGCATGTATGGATATCTGTCTATACAGATGCACAAACAATATCAAACTATACAAATAAAATAGTCCTGAATTATGTGTTACACACAAGTGTTACAACTAACCCCTCTGTCTGTTACAATTAACCCCGCATATGGGGTAAGTTGTAACATTTGCACTTCTGTCACTTTCAGTCTAATTGTACGAAAATGGTAGGTCCTAGAAAAAGTGGCTTTAAGTACTATGTACTTACATTGAACAATAAGTACAATGTATTATTGTGTTCCTGCTGTATTTTGCTGCTATTGAGGTGTGATATGGGTATGGTTAGGGACAGGTGTGGAGGTATGGGTCGGTTTAAGGGTAGGTTAAGGTGTGAGGGGAGGGTCAACTGTGTAATTACAAATGTAATTACATAAATTAATTATAGCTGTAATTACATGCTGGAATTTTAAAATGTAAGTACAGTGTAAAACCTTGTATGTACACAATAAGTACATTGTATCAAATTATTAATTTCAATGTAAGTAAACAGTACTTAAAGCCACTTAATATAAAGTGGGACCTTTTTTTTTAATTAATTGAGCCAAAACCAAAATGCGTTAGGTTGTGACCCGCTCTCTCCTATATATAGAGAAAAAAGAACATTGTACATTTAGATCATATTTTCAAATTCGTCTTAATTTTAAACTGTTCAATGGTATTCCATTTGAAATTATGAGTATAACGTTTAAATCTAGCCACAACTTTTAGTGATACTGAAATTAAGATTCAAACATAACTTACCCTGCAAAGAGCCCTGACCTCCCCATATGCACAATAATTATTCAAATGAATACTTTAGAGAGATTGTCTCCAGAACCTTCCCTCTTTTTCATCTGAGTTACTTTTACTCTGGCCTCTGAGGATTATGCATAACAAATACCTCGATCATTTGTTTGCATTAGCATTTCAGCTTCATGCTGAAGTCTTTCGAAAATCCCATGTCAGTCTATCTGTGAGGCAAATCAGGAGCTCTCAGAGGAGCTATGATGCGGTGTGTGTGTGTGTGTGAATGCAGCTTATGTGAATGCATGTGCATAGATGTGTGGGAGGACGGCATGCTTATGGTTCCAAAGCCAATGCTCTGAAAACCTCTGCAGAACTGCTGTTTTATTTTTATGGCAGGTTAAAGAGTTGCATAAGATGTTTTATTGATTTGTTGTTTCGTAAGGAAAAAAATCAGAAAGATGGAATATTTTAAAGATGCAAAACTCCTTGAAACATCTCCAGCATACAGCTGGTACTGTGAACTCGAGTGCTATGACACGCTTTTATGTTTATCGGCCTGCATGTGTGCTGCTGCTCACTGCTGAATGATGGATGAATTGTGTTTACAATACAGTCAAAAATATTACTAACGCATGTACATGGCAGCACATCCTGTGGTATGGCACTGATGGATTTTCTGCATAATAAAGCCCGATAGTTTCAGGACCAGGTCTGTGGTGAAGAATGCAAATTCCATCATCATATCTAAAATGTATTCACTCATAAATGCTAATTCAATGAGTGTGACTATTTACCACCAGAATGAGTTCACGGAAATATTGCTACATTTTCAAATATGAACTCACTATTTGGCAAATCATTTGTGTGGTCCCTGTAGATAGGATTGAGTCTGCAGCTTATTTAATAGGAACGTGACCATACAAAGGCAATGTGGATAATTCACACGTTGTGGAAATGGTAATTTCTTGGCAGACAAGCCCGAAGCCATTATGCCCCATAGATGAATTCTGAATACCCGTCTGCGTCTGTTTCCTATTTCTCCTCTTTCTTTCCCCCGTCTCAATCCACAATTCTCACAGAGACCTTAACGTTCTTGTCTATCAATTCAATAGCATAATTTTATTCGGCCACGAGGGTTCATGTCTAACCACACAAGCAGTTAAAATGTCTATGATCACTTCACTTCTAACTCTGAAGCCAAATGCCTGTTTCATATTCATGGATTGATCTTCCACTAATGTTGAGATGTTGGAGTGCACTATTTTACCATTTAGGGATGCAACTGCAAAGCCCCAGTGAAGCACAGACGATTCATCTTGTGTTTTTAATGCTATTATTGATATTGATTCAGAGAGGTTGGTGTGACCTTCACATTTGCTTTGCAGGCTTTTAGAAGGATGTAAAACAGACATTGTTTTGATTTATATGGCCATAACATTTCAAGTCAGTTTTTTTTTTCTGGGTTGATGGATATCAGATTGATGACATGGACATGTAGCAGACAGCTTCTAATAAAATCACTTTACTAAAATGCCATATGTTCTGTGCTTTCAATTGCACTTTAAATTATAGGAGAGACTATACATCTATATTAGTTGAAGATTGATATATCATTGTTTTTTATTTTATTGTTTTCAAATATTAGTAAAAGTTTCACATGAGTAAGCAGTGTTACAATTTTAAAGTTAACTTAATCTTCTTCGATTAAGTTTTGTTTATGCCTGATATTTCTGTAGATATTTATTCAACCGTTTACTATAGAAGTAAGTAAACGGTTGAATTAGATCTTTCATTACCTCAAATATTGATAGTTCAGGAAACTTATTACAGTTGCACTGGAACACCAAATTCTATAATTTATTATTGTTAGGCCTCTCAAACTGAAGGAATGTACAAAAAGCTCTAACTTCAGGTGCTCATTGAATTATTTAGGGCCTACTGGTATTTTTCAAACTAAAAATCAAAGCTCATCATAGACTTTAAAAACATGTTTTTGGGGTAACGTAACACTTTGTGGAATCAAATTTAATGAAAGGAGTTTTGACATCGAATATTAGATCTAATTAGTTTCAGAAACATTATCACTTTTGCTGAGCCCTTGAACTGTATTCCTAGGTGGGAATGTTGATACTGATAACAGGGTTCATTGCCTGCTCTGGGGCAGGTTATGTTCTAGATCACAGATCTCAAACAAACATGATCAGCTGTGAGCAGTGTGATGAATCTTTTTATGCACTGAAGTTATTCGCTCTGTATCTCTACCCCCAACCTAAAATGCACTTCACGGAAAAAGGCTTTCGTAAATCCACATAATCAGCTTACCATAATAATTATTTGAGAAATATAAATTTTCAGGGGAGAGACTCTCATACCTCTGTCAGCATTTTGAGCTGCACAATTAAAAATGTATGGCTTTGTATCTCTTTGCAAGTGGCATATATTAGGTGATGCTGCATGAGAGCCTCAGAAAAATACTTTTTTTGTAGTAGATTGTAAGGTATAGAACATTGGTGGGGGCGATTTTTTTTTTTCTTCAGGTGGCTCTTGGTTGCACCCCAGTAAGTGACTGAATCATTAAATTATTAATTTAATGAATGAATGGATGAATGGAGGAATGGATGAATGGAGGAATGGATGAGTGAATGAATGACTCATAAAGATTGAGACATTGAATTACCAACGTTTAATTAATTCATGAAGTAAACTTTACTCCTGAGTGTTGCTCTACAGAAATATTTCCTTTGGTGGAGCAAAAATACTAAGTAACTGGGAATATTATTCATAAAAACGAAGTTTCTAACATTTTGTTTATTGAATTGTAAGTAATTTCACATTCTTAGTCATTCTGATTATTTGAAAATTAGCAAGGATGGTTAGGTCTCATGTGTGCCTCGAATCACAACCATGCTGATATTCGGAAGAACGCCACTCTTGCTCGTGTTTTGTAAATAGGCTATACATGTAGTCAGTAAAATATTTACTATGATAGTTCAATACAATGCTGTCATTAATGTTTAATAAAACAATTAATCACTCAAACAATATAGGCATGAATGCAATGCAATAGATTGGCAATGCAGTATAATGATGGATTTTTGTAAAAAAATGTGGAAAATTTTTCATTGGTTTTTGGATTATTGCAGAAAATGTGACCAACAAAAGTTCATGAATCTTACACAGTTTGTTCATCAAGAAAAGTCTTCACAGATGAATACAACTTATGTGAAATTTGAATCCTAAATACAATCGCCAGAAGAAAAAAAAAGGTAATTAAAGTGTAAACAACGTAAGAGCGTTAAGGCGGCGCCCGCGCCATCAGTCAATGGATTGTCGTGATTCTATAGGCTTCAGAAAATCAGCACACTTACTCTGATGCGTAATTTTATACGTGAAATTCAGCCAAACCTTGGAGCGTTTTGTTTTCGACATCTTCATTAATCCCCTCGCTATCAGATGTTCCGGGAGTCTCCCGCATATTGACAATGGCTCCCTGATGCCCGCAAATTAGAGTGCGAGATTGCAAGAGTGCGAACAAGGATGTAAAAGCAGGCTAAGTAGATGAGCTGTTCGGTGTAATGATTTTGGTTTTAGGTGTTCGGTTTTATTTTTTCTTAATTTTTATATATATATATATATATATATATATATACAGTATATATATATTTTTTTTTTCTTTTTTTTTTTTTCTTTACATTTATATATAAGGCTATTCTTGTGCTACCATCCTACTGTTCACTTCTTACGAAAAAAAGTGTTGGTCATTACTCTCTCCGTTCTCAAGATGTTGTCTTGTTTTCTGTCCCACATGGCCTTTGTTTATTCTGCTCCCTTTACATGGAATTTGCTGCAGAACAACTTATAACTTAGTAAATTGATTCATTTAAGTGTTTTAAGTTGAGAATGAGATGTTTTGAGTTGGACTCCCTCATATGTCAATGTTTTCATTGAGATTTCTTTGTAAGTGCATAATTGGCTCTTTTTTTGTGTCTTTGTACGTATGTAATGATGTGATGTAATTTTGCTGTCTATCTTGGCCAGGTAATCTCAATGGGTTTTTACCTGGTTAAATAAAGGATAAAAAAACCCCCAAAAAACATTGACTTCGAAGGAACCAGAACTGCTAAAATGCTTATTAGTTTCCGCGTTTTGGCCTACAAAAATACGTCCTCCCTGCAGCACTCTATTGACTCATTTTAATACTGTTAACTCAGAAGTGACACATTTCACCTTGGAAGAAGTAAAAGTATTTAGAGTAGCAGTTTTACTCCCTGCGAGAGTCGAATGACACATTATCAATACACTGGAAGACATTTCAGGTCCTTGGCAATGGGCAACATGAATATTGGCATTTGAATTTATTTGTTTGGAAGTGATTTGTAAAACCTGGACTACATGATGCTTGCAAAGCTAGGCCTTAAACGGCAAGAAGAAACTCACAAGTCCTCAGTCTAACCAAAAGCCATTACTACAGTGTTGGCTAGCACCTCCCTTTGGGCCTGCTATACAGCATATCTCACAGCTCCGAGCCATAGGCAGGAACACAATAAGATTACAGCGTCTGAATGACAGCTAGCACAATGCAGGAAGGATAAAAAGTGAAAAGAAAGAAATACAGACAAAGACAGACAGAAGGCGAGACGGAGAAGAGAGAGAGAGAGAGAGAGAGAGAGAGAGAGAGAGAGAGAGGGGGAAGGAAGCAATCAGTGCATGAATATTCCATTTACTGCACTGGAGCACCATAGCAGTGCCTTTATACCTTCAGCCACCTGATCTGGAAATGAAATTACTACAGCCGATGCTCTTTTCTTCAATTTCTCACTCTTCCCTTTACTGTCCTTCGTCTTATCAAGGCTGACACTAATCCAATTTCAGCCCTGCTGGGGCCACAGCTTGCTCAGTTATGTATACTGATGCCTCCGCTGGTGTACACACACTCTCTCTCTCACACACACACACACACACACACACTTGCTCAAATGCACCTTTGTGTTGTCTGGATGCAACAGCTGCTCTGTAATTGCATTAGTGAAGTTCATTTGGCCGCAGCTGTTGTGGACACGATGAGCAAG